GCCTAGATAAGTATTTGTTGCTTGTGAGTGATTTTTATTTGGGGTTTCCCAGGCTGTGCTGGGGGTGGGGTGGGGTGGGCAGGAGCCACTCCCTGCCTTATTTGGTCTGGTGGGGCTCAGAGCCAACAGTTCTGGGGAACCCAGGGCCACGCCAGTGGTATTGGAGGAGACCAGGCCGTGCTGGGAATTGAACCCAGGGCCTCCACATACCAGCCATGTGCTCCATCCTGGTGTACCCTAACCTTGGCCCTTGTGAATGGTTTTAGAGTATGTTCTGTGGCATAACATAACCTCTGGGTAGAAGTCTGTTGATTTAGCCAGTGCTAAATAAATAGCCAATGCTTAGCATGACTGACTCGGATGTCTACCCAGGTAATCATCAGGGCTCAGAGAAGGAGAGGACAAGAAGAATCATGTCCTGTGACCCCTCAGAGGCCAGGTTTGGATTAGCAAACTTTCAGACCTTCCTGAACCTACCTATAAAGTGGGTATCTGATGCCACAGACATCACAGAATTATAATGAGAGAATGAATGAGATGGCCTTTGTAAAGTGCTCAGTGCACAACCAGATATCGGTAAAGTTTGCTGCTACAGGTCCTCATTGGTAGATTCATGTGTTCTTAGGATTATGAGTTTATACCTCATCGCTGTTGATGCATTTTTGTACCCTTGATTCCTCTTCTTGCCTGTTCCATTTCTTTGTTGTCCTGAGCATTCTTTTCAAACTATTAGGAGAGAGGGCATGAGGTTGTAGAGGGCTACAGGGTTAGGCCCTTTCTTGTATCCCTGCCACTTAATATGGTCCCCTGAACCCTGCCCTGAGTAATCCCTGAGCACAGAGCCCAAAGGTAATCACTGAGCACCACTGGTGTGACCCAAAACAGTAAATCAAACCCCAAAAATCAAAACTAGTAGGAGAAACTGGGATGAAGTTAGGATTAAATTCTCTTCCTGAATCCAGTGGTTTTCTGTCTTACTTGCTTTTTCTTCAAATGTCCTTCTTGGGGCGATTTAGGTTTAGGAATCAGTCTCAACACTGATTGGCTCAGGAAGCAGTGTTGCCAGTGTTGAGTTCAGCAACTGGGTTTAAATCACACAGTGTTAATCTGGCTACTTCCAGTTTGAATATGTGCTTGTGCCTTCAGTTGGCTCAGAGGAGAAGAAAAGTTTTCTATCATCTTGACTAGATTTAAAATATCTTTTTTTTTTTTTTTTTTGCGGGGAGGGAGGCACATTCAGCGATGGTCTGGGATTACTCTTGGCTCTGCATGCAGGAATTACTCCTGGCGGTGCTTGGGGGTTTGATCTCAGGTCAGCAGCATGGCATGCAAGGCAAGCACCCTACCCTCTTATTTGCTCTGGCCCCCAAGGACTAGGTTTGAAATGTCTATGTGTTTTAAAGGCAGTTATGGAATACTGCAGTTTTGGAGAACAGGAGAGCCTGTTCTTATCATGCTTCTCTGCTTTTGGCTGGCTGATGCGTAAGGATTTGTTTCCTTGTGGTTTAAATCAAGTTAAGATTCCTCTCCTCCTGATTGGTACCTGCTCCATATAAATGTCCCATTGCTCATTTGAAATGACCACTTTTCTTTACTTTTTTTTTCCATATGTGTATCTGGAACAATATTTTGCTTGGTCTTGTTTTTGAATGGTTTGTTTGGTCTTGTTTATAATTGTTCTAGAAGTGAGACTTTATTATATACATTCTTTTGTGTTTGCTGATTTGTGAATGTTACTCATAATGATCCATGTGAAATGGCTACTATTCATTTTTCACTGTCATAAGGCACCTCACCAATGCACATACTGAGTCCATCAGTTCTTTCTTTGGTGGGCATTTGAGCTATTTCCGATGCTTTGCTATTTCAAATTTTGCTATAAACACCTTTTAAGTTGTTTCAGGAATATACATGTGAAAGTTTCATTCTTAGATTCTTTTAGTAGGGGGCCACACCTGGCTGTTTACTCCTGGCTCTATGCTCAGTATCACTCCTGGTGGGCTTGGGGGACAATATAGGGTTCTGGGAATCGAACCCCAGGTTGGCTACATGCAAGGCAGGTGCCTAACCTGTTGTGCTATTGCTCTGGTCTCTCATTCTTAGGTATTACGGTTTTCTTTTCTATTTAACCTGTAAGAAGGAAATCTGGATGACTCTTTAGATATATGGCCTTGAGCCCTGAAACTCTTAAACATTCTTTTAAGATGCTTGCCCCCGAGGGCTGGGGAATTAGGTACCTGTGATTGCGAGCCTCTTGCCACCTTTCGGTGCCTCCTGAATAACCTCCACACTTTAGACAGGTTTCCCCTACCCGGAGCTGAGACCTGTGCTGCTTTTGGAGCAGGATTGATTTCTTTAGGCCCAAGAGTGAGCCAGTCTGGCTGGGTTTCTTCCTGTGCCCCCATAGTTCTGAAGAGATTGACAGTGAGTGTTAGGGATCTACTATGAAGGCATGTGCTACCTGGCAGGTTTTTGTTAAGAGAGGTTGTTGCTCTGTCAAGACAAGTGGTCTTTGTTTATAATTGGTCTTATTTATAATTGTTTTAGAGTGTGACTTCATTACGTACATTCTTCTGTGTTGCCGCTTTATTGGACGTTATTGATAATCATGCAGGTGAGTGTGAATGACCACTATTCATTTTCATTGTTATAAGGCATCTCACCTGCAAGACCCTTACTCTGCAGGAGTCATTTATAAATGGTGATAGAAATCCACCATTCTAGACTAGTTCAAAGAAAGATTTGTATTTGAAAAAAATTCTATGAAGCAGTATTGTTTTAGACACAAGCTGGTTCCATCTGCCAGAGCCCTGACAACGTCCATCTTCCCTAATGGGGAAGAGTCAGATTCCCCAAACTGCGGTGGGGGCAGCTGACCTTCGGGGTTGGAGAATTGAGCCTAGAGTTCATTGGTGTGCACTACAGACCAGAGACTCCGTAGACATTTCATACTTGAGAGAGTTGGATGTGTTAGGTATTCATTTCTTCAGATTTTTTTTGGGTCACGTCACCTACCTGGAGATGCTCTGGGCACCATAATTAAAGCACAAAAGCTGGTGAGCATCTGGGCTGGCATCACAGAGGAGAAGTGTGACTGAGAACACTGTGGCCTCAAGCAGTGTCTGGCAACAGAGAGAAGGGAAGTTGGGGGGGAGCTGAATATGAACTTTCTTGCTTTTTGTTTGTTTTTGGGCCACAGTGGTGCTGTCCAGGGCTTACTCCTAGCTCTGCACCCAAAAACTACCAAGGAACCATATGGGATGCTGGGAATCGAACTGGGGTCAGCTACGTGCAAGGCAAATGCCTTACCAACGATCCTATCTCTCTAACCCCTCTTCAGGTTCTTGAAGCTCTCATTCTGATTTAAGATAAATCAGTGGTTACCAGCCTTGCCTGAGTCTTCAGGATTTCAGCAGCGGGTGAATGTAGGGGGGGGATTCACCTCCATATCTGTGGTTAAGGATGGACATTGCAGGGTTGGCGCACAGGCTCATCTTCAGTCGGGTTTGTGTGCAGCCTTTGGAACACATGGAGCAGCCCCGGCTGTCCAGTCCGACATACTTACCTACCTAAGCCAGGAGAAAGTAAGCAAGCAGCGGGGAGAGCATGCTGAGATTCATGTCTGCAGAGAAGTGGCGATGAATTAACACTGGTTTAGGAGGCGTCTAGGAAAGCCAGGTCATCCGGGTGTCTGGAAGAGGCAGTTGATTGAGGAGGTGTTGGCTAAATGAACCTGATTCCGGGGAGGATGGTTTGCCTGGATTTCTCTGGTTAAGCCACAGTCATTCTGAATCCAGAGTCATGGGAGTAGAGGAGGCATCTATGAGATATCTCCAAGTGGCTCAATCTCCTTTCTCATTGGAAAGGCTGTAAGAAATCTTTGTGCTGTCAGAAATTTCCCTTTTCCTTTTTCTGTGATTCACTGCCATCACTGATGTTGTCTTGTGGGTAAGCAGATAGCAGATGGCATCTATTTAATAAACAATGGAAGAGATCCCTGTTTGTTCAAGATTGGCTTTTTATTCTCTGCTTGTTTTACCTTATATTGTAATATCATAGCTTCAGAATTTGTTCAGGGAAAGGTTTATTATTATTATTCTTAGTTTTGGAGGGATGCAGGTTTGGGCCACACCTGGTTGTGCTCAAAGCTTACTCCTGGCTCTGTGCTCAGGGATCACTCACCAGTGTTCCGTAGGAACTCAGTGTCCTCAATTCCAAGCATACCTTCAGAGCAACACTTGCTGATCAGTGGAAGCTGTTGTTCGGGGGCCTGTTAGCATGTCCTGAGGGCTCTCGAGCTGCCCACACTTCTCATCAGCAGGTATTTGTGTCAGTCAGACCTGGAGAGCTCAAGAAAAGAATCTGTGAGATCAAGGCCTGGGCTCCTTGAAAGATACATGAAGTCCTGCAGTGTGTGTGTGTGTGTTTGTGTGCATGTGTGTTTGTGTGTGTTTATGTTTGTGTGTGTGTGTGTGTTTGTGTGCGCGCATGTCCCCAGCCCCCGCCCACCCTGCAGACAGGGCCCCCGCCCTCTTCAGCTTCTCCTGGCCAGCCTTGAATAGTCTCAACTGTTCACTCTGTTGTTGTTGGTGGGTTGTTTCTGGGTTGTTGGTGACTATCTTGATAACCAGATGATTGGATAGAGGCAGATTTGGTGTTTGTTCATGTTTAAGGGGATGGGGGGCACACCCAGAAATGTCCAAGGCTTCCTCCTGGCTCTGTGCTCAAGGATCCCTCTTGGCGGAGCGAGGAATGGAACCCAGACCAGCCGCATGCCTAGCAGGCACCTTTCCTGCTTGTGCTAACTCTGGCCCCCCTGGAGGCTGGTTCGGACATCCTTGTCTTTGAACACCACCCCAAGCTTTTTACAGGGCTGCTCATGTCCTTATGGAATAAATGGGAAGGCGATTGCCCAGTATGCACAAAAGAAATCAAGGCAGTTGGTGACTGCTGTGGCAGTGGGTGTCAGAGGCACCCGGCTCTTCTCCCCCTTCTTTCAGGTTATCTTTGCTTTGAACCAAACCCTCTTGCAGCAGGAGAGCCTCCGGGCCGGCAGCCTTCAGGTCCACTACAGCACGGAGGACCTCATCAAACACTACAACTGCGGGAACCTCAGCTCCGTCATCTTCAGCCACGACAGCACCCAGGTGAGTGCCCTGGCCATTGCTCTTCCCAGCATGGCGCGGTGTCAGGGCAGGGATAGAGGCTTGGCCTCCTGTGGGCTCTCAGAGTGAGAGGTCCGCGTTGGGGGAGGTAAGAGATGCTGCCGCGACCAAAGGCGTCCTTTAGGAGACCTGATGCAGAGAGGGGCATCGATGAGAGCTAACCCCCTTCATGGGCAAAGGATGAAGCTGCTGGGCACTCAGCAGGCAGCCGCATGTCAGGAAGGGAGCTGGGTATGAAAGCTTGTGCTTGACTCAGAGTCACACTCTGGAGACACGCTGGACCAAAATTTTGTGTTTCTGTGGTTTCTTGGAACAAGTGAGCACAATGCAACCAGGAGTATGTGGGGGAGCCACAGAAACCGCTGGGCAGGCCACCCGCAGTTCTGTCCTGTAATGCTGAAGGGGAAGGTAAGCCAAGCTGGCATGAGTGTCCATCCAGGTCAGTCCTCCCTGAGATCCTCCAGGGGAGGGAAGTAGCTGTCAAGGCTCAGAGGTTGAGGCTTCCCTTTAGGAGAGGTGAGTTGGCGGTTTGGTTCGCTTCATCAACTGCTTCCCAGGGACTAACCATGGCCTGCTGCTCTCCCTCTGTGAATGTCGTGAATGTCACGTGGAAGTGGCAAGTTCCAGAGATGCTTCTGCTGGAGGGAGGGCGAGGTTTCTGCCCACTAGTATGGGTGCCTTCTGCAGGAGGATGCTGGGGAAGAGAGCAGGGAGCAGAGGGTGCGAGTGAGCTGGTGCAGGCCTGTCAGGTGTGTGACCTTGTAAGAAATGTGAGCCCAAGAGGCTGAAACAGGAGAGAGACAGCAGGAGAAGAGCACTTGAGGCTCAGCCAACATTACCCTCCAAACACTGAAAATATGATGAGATAGTAAAGCAGGTAAGGTGCTTGCCCTGCATGTGGCCAACCCGGGTTGGTCAGCCAACATTACCCTCCAAACACTGAAAATATGATGAGATAGTAAAGCAGGTAAGGTGCTTGCCCTGCATGTGGCCAACCCGGGTTGGTCCCAGGGATCCCATATGGTTTCCCTAAGCCCGCCAGGAGTGATCCCTGAGAGCAGAGTCAGGAGCATTGCTGGGTGTGGCCCCCAAACAAACAGAAAAACAAAAAATACAATGAGCTTCCCAGAGTCTAGAGGGGGTGGAAGTAAAACCAAGGCAAAGCAAGCCGGAGGAGAAGGAAAGCAAGTGAATCATTGAAGGAGGAAGAGAGTTGATATTATACAATAATTACTATATTGAAATCATACAATAATCACAAATTGGTTCTTAGTGATTTATTTTCTGATCATTCTGTTTGCCATTTCTTAAAGTTTTGTTGGGACAAGTAATGTAAAGTTAATTTGTTCTGTGCCTAAGAGGGCGGATTGGGGTTGGGAGGGATCATGGGAACTTTGGTGGAGGGAAGGTCACACTGGTTGGAACACTGTTGGAATACTAAATGCCTGAAAAAACCTTAGAATGAGTAACTTTGTAAATCACGGGGTTTTTTTCACACTTGAAATGGGAATTTATTTATTTTTTCCCTTAAATTTTTATTAGTGAAACACCATGGGATACAGTTGTAGACTTACAAATTTTTGTGCTTGGGTTTCAGTTATACAATGATCGAATACCCATCCCTCCACCAGTGCCCATTCTCCACCACGACTAGTCCCAGTATCCCTCCCACCCCCTTTCCCCCCATCCCACCCTACCTCTGTGGCAGGGCATTTTCTTTTGTTATCTCTCTCCTTTTGAGTGCTGTGGTTTGCAAAAGAGACATTGAGTGGAAATCTTGTTTGGACTATAGTCTACTCTCATCACGCATTTCCCATCCTGAGAGGAACCTCCCAATACCCTTTATTTGGTGCTCCCTTCTCTATCTGAGCTGCCTTTTCCCATAGCGTGTGCGGCTGTCCTCAAAGCCATGGAGTAATCCTCCTGGTACTGATATCGGCTATTCTTGGGTGTTAGTCTCCTATTTTATTACTTTATGTTCCCCAGATGAATGCAATCTTTCTTTCTTTTTTTTTATTAGTGAGACATCATGAGGTTGCAGACTTACAAATTTTTGTGCTTGGGTTTCAATTATATAATGATCAAATACCCATCCCTCCACCAGTGCCCATTCTCCACCACCACGGATCTCAGTATCCCTCCCACCCCCCATCCCCCCCATCCCACCCTGCCTCTGTGGCAGGTCATTCTGCCCCATTCAGCCCTGCCTGCCATGCCTCCTTCCACAAGTGGCAGGCACATTCCCCTGTACCCTGCGCCCCCTGCAGAAGACTGAGCAGGAGAGGAGGAGCCACAGGAAAGAAATACCAAACATCTGCCCTGAACTGCTCCTTCAACCTCACCACGTTTTATTTTATTTTATTTTTATTAAAAACACCATGATTCAATGGAATACTATGTAAGCTGTCAGAAAGGATGAAGTCATGAAATTTACATACAAGTGGCACTACATGGAAAGTATCATGCTAAGTGAAATGAGTCAGAAAGAGAGGGATAGACATAGAAAGATTGCATTTGAAATGACTCAAAAAGAAAGGGATAGACATAGAAAGATTGCATTCGTCTGGGAAACATAAAGTAACAAAATAGGAGACTAACACCCAAGAATGGCCGAGATTAGTACCAGGAATTTTACTCCATGGCTTAGAGGCCAACCACAACGCTAGGGGAAAAGGGAGCTCAGATAGAGAAGGGAGCACCAAATAAAGGTGTTGGGAGGATCCTCCCAGGATGGGAGAAGCATGCTGAAAGTAGACTATAGACCAAACATGATTGCCACTCAGTGCCTCTCTTGCAAACCACAGCACTCAAAAGTAGAGAGAGAACAAAAGGGACAGAGACTGCATGTACCCAGCTGAGAAGGTGCAACATATGGGAACCAGCCACACCTCCCTGGCTGTCTGAGTGGGCAGGCAGTCCCAAAGGGAGTGCTCAACCGAAGGCAAGAGGTTTTGGGAAATAGAAGGATCTTACATCAATAACATGGTTTTTAGAAAGATGGTAAGGAGAGGAGGTAGAGAGATAGTTGATGAGATAGAGTTGTTTTCCCTTAACCCTGTTTGATTCCTGGAAGCATATTATATGGTCCCCTGAGCAACATCAGGAGTGATCCCTGAATACTGCTGGGTGTGGCCAAAACTATAAAAGAAAAAAAAAGTTAAAGGGAAAAGGAAGATTTCTTTGTAAATCTTTTCGAAATCATTTGAAAATGCATTAATCTCACTTTGGGGGTTAACATCTTAGGATGGGTGAAAAATAAAAACTGACGATTATGTTATGAAGGGTGAGGACTCTCCAAAGATGGTTGAGAGGCTACTGGAAGTCAGAGAAGCAGGTAGGGGAGAGACCCTCAGCTGTTTGACTAAGGTGAACTGGGTTCAGTTCCTGGGTAGAGGAGGCAGCGTGAGTCCAGCAGACAGGGAGAGAGGGCTGAGGGTTGGGAAACCACTACCACAGTGGCGGGGAAAGAGTGAAGTGTGACAGCCTCACTAACAGACTATGCTGCAAAGCCCACTCCTGAGTGTTCTGGCCTTGGTGGCAGAGCACTAAAGTGTCAGATGACAAAAATTGACTTATTGTGTCACAGAGTCCAGGGAAACTTCATCAGAGCAAACAACATTGGAGAAAGCAAGAGGTGAAAAGGAAATTGGAGAGATAATAAATATTTAAATGACATTTCAAAAACAGTTGAATTTCATAGAAAAACCACATATTTGGAATCTTAATTCTTAAAATCCTAATAATAATGATGGAAAAGTTTGATTGTTTTTGCCTCAACCCTGGTGATGTTCATTCAGGGGCTGCTACTGGCTCAGTGCTTGGTGTGGGATGGGTGAGGGGTCACTTCTGGCTACTTCTGGGGATCATGCAGTGCCAGGCATCAGACCCAGTCTTCCTGCATGCATAAAGCATGTGCTTCAGCCCATTGAGCTTTCTCTCCAGTCCTGTAAATTTTTTTATTAAGCAATCATCTGTGAATCAAGCAAGTGAAATAAGAATGTGTTATGCAAAGATATGGTCTCTCTATAAATACATGACATCAAACAGGATCATGTAAATGGGACAGTGTAAAAAATGTGAGTACTTTTTTAAATAGTCAAGGACTTTTTTGGGATGTAGTTTAGTATATATATGTATATATATATATATTCATTTAGGTTGCAGAGAATGACATATGGTTTGAAAAGCTACCAGGTAGGAGACCCCAAGAATGACTTGCCACACTTGACGTATTTCTTCAGTGTCTTGACCCTCTCTAGGTTGGGTGATGGGATGATAACACTTCGCTACTTCATGAATAATTCTGTTGCTCCTCATTTCCCCTTCTACATTCTGTTGTAGGTTCCCAATTTTATTAATGCTACACTCCCACCTCAAGAGCGCATCACAGCTCAGGAAATTGACAGCTACTTCCGCCGGGAGCTTATCTACAAGCGCAATGAGCGGATGGGCAAGCGGGTGAAGGCTCTTCTGGAGGAGTTTCCTGACAAAGGCTTCTTTTTTGCCTTTGGAGCTGGTGAGTCGCAAGGTTACCTCTGCTGAGATACTGGGCTCAGTTCCATTTTCAAGAAGGGAATGCTGGGGTGGCCCCCTGGTGGGAGGTGAGATGAGGGACACCTTTTCTTTAAGAAAATTTGTATTGGTGAAACACCATGAGGTACAGTTGTAGACTTAGACTTTGCGTTTGCATTTCAGTTATATAATGATCGAGTACTCATCCCTCTACCTGTGCCCATTCTCCACCACCCATGATCCCAGTATCCCTCTCACCACCCCATCTCCCCACCCCCACCCCACCCCACCTCTGAGGCAGGGCATTCCCTTTTGTGCTCTCTCTCCTTTTGGGTGTTGTGGTTTGCAATAGAGGTATTGAGTGGCCATTCTTTGACTTAGTTCTGTTGCAGAGTAGCTCCAACTGGTGTTGGAGCATGGTTGCTACTTGGGTGGAAGGGTTGGTGACTGTGATTTCAACACAGCTATCACTCTACCTGGGGATCAGGATACATCCCCAACTTAGGAAGACATTGCATTCTCTTCCAAACACAATATATTATATTAAAAATATTGTTACTGAGGTAACACATTATAATGGGCTTCAGTGTTTCTTTTTTTGGTGTACAACATTAATACACCTCCACAACTACCAAATTGCCAAAGACGCTTCACTGCTGTTCAGTATTATTTCTTTCTTCCACTCCCTCCCCTTCTGCCAGCCCTTCTGACCCCTTGGTAACTTCAGTTCTGTTGTCAAGTCCAAGAGTTTGTTTTTATTTTGGTAACTTGCTTTATTTCTTTATATATCACATATAAGGAAGATCATTCTATATTTGTCCTCCTCTTATCTTTATTTTTTGTAGCATGACCCTTTCTAGTTCAATACTAGTTGTAGTAAAAGGCAAGAGTTCATCATTTCTATAGCTTGGCCGTATTCCATTGTGCATATAGACTACAACTTCTTCATCCCCTTATCTATCAATGGGCATTTGAGTCGTTTCCAGATCCTGGCAATTATACTAAGCACTGAGAGTATCTCGCCCGCACGGCAGACCTGGCAAGCTACCCGTGACGTATTTGATATGCCAAACACAGTAACAACAAGTCTCATGATGGAGACATTACTGGGCCCGCTCGAGCAAATTGATGAACAATGGGAGGACCGTGACCGTGACGGTGACATCAGTGAACATAGGTGTACATGTATCTTTTTGAGTTGATATCTTCATGCTGAATTCAGCTCTGGCTTTACTTTCTTGAATCTTTAAGTTGTTTTTTTTTTTCCTTTTTGGGTCACACCTGGCGATGCACAGGGGTTACTCCTGGCTCTGCACTCAGGAGTTAGCCCTGGCGGTGCACAGGGAACCATATGGGATGCTGGGAATTGAACCCTGGTTGGCCGTGTGCACAGCCTACCCGCTGTGCTATTGCTCCAGCCCCTAAGTTGTTGTTTTTTTAAATTTTCCCTAAAGTTTGTCTGCTCTTTCCTGTATGACTATGGGTCTCTCAAAACTCTCTGTCTGGTACATCAGTTATATTACTATGAGGATAGACTGAGGCAATTCATTTCAAAAGATTTTTCATTTTTGTTTGTGTTTTTCCCACTTTTAAAAAAATAATTTTTAGTAAGAACACCATGATTTACAAAGTTGTTCATTATGTGGTTGTTTCAAGTATTTAGTGTTCCAACACCACCAGTGTGACTTTCCCTCCACTAATATTCCCAATTTCTCTCCCAGTCCCAAACTACCCCCTTAGATATATAACAAATTTACTTTATATTGCTCATTCCAAAAAAACTTGAAGAAATGGCAAGTGGAGTTAAATTTTTAACAGGCAGCTTTGGGGTATGAACATGGCTGCCAGTGCATCCAGAAGTACAGGGAGGTGGGGGTTGGTAGCCTGTCCCTGACTCTGAGAAAGCCTGGAGATTTCAGTCCCAAATCCGCATTTATAAATTTTCTTCACAGATTAATTTATTGGTGAGGTTCATCTCATGGGCTTTTTTTGGGGGGGTGGGGGAAGGGATAAATTCTTTTCTTATTGTAAATGATTTTTACACAGCTCTGTACCCTCTAGAATTAAGGACAGAAGGACTGGTTCTAGGCTGACTGCTTTCAGTTTTCCTGCTGGTTTCACAAACTTGGTCACGTTCCTTAATTGTTTGTTTGTTTTTTAAACAAATAAATTGACAGGTAAATGCAGAATGGCAGGGTGATCAAGTAAAATATACTGATTCTCAACTTAATTACATCTGCAAAATACACCCCCCCCACTTCCCATCTCCAATATGACATTCACAAAGTTCCAGGGGTTAGGATGCAGATGCATTTTGGGGGGACCATTAATCAGACTCTGACATCTGAAAATTAATGTTCCATATTAATGGAATAAGGGGCAACAACCACATAATCATCTTAATAGGGGCAGAAAAACCATTAGATAAAAGCATCATTGAACAGCACTTATGAAGCTTTAAGTAAACAGAAAGCTAGGAGTAGCCATTGAGCACTACTAGTTGCGACCCATCCTCCTACTTTATTTTTTTATTTTATTTTATTTATTTTGCTTTCTGGGTCACACCCGGCAATACTTAGGGTTATTCCTGGCTTTGCACTCAGGAATTAACTCCTGGAAGTGCTTGGGGGATCATATGGTATGCCGGGGATTGAACCCTGGTTGACCGTATGCAAAGCAAATGCCCTACCCGCTTTACTATTACTCTGGCCGTAACCTCCCTCAGTCGCCACTCTGGTCCCAACCTCCCTCACTCACCAGTCCCCCCAAAACTTCTCAAACTGCCAAACCCTGACAATGAAAGATGTAGCTGAATCCCTACTGAAAAGACCTACCTCAACCTTTATAATATTTTCTTTAAGACAGAGTGTAGATATGTCTTTGCTTTTTTATTTTTTATTTTTTTTTGCTTTTTGGGTCACACCTGGCTCTGCACTCAGGAATTACTCCTGGTAGTGCTCAGGGGACCATATGGGATACTGGGAATTGAACCCGGGTCTGCCATGTGCATGGCAAATGCCCTACCCACTGTTTTATCTTTGCTTTTTATTAAAAAAAGGAATAAAGAAAGTAAAATGGCTTGGAAGTTAGGGTTTCCAAGACATGGTGACTTCTAAATGTTAATTTCTTTTTAATAACATTTATTACCAAAGATCTGGAGTGATAGCACATCAGGTAGGGCGTTTGCTTTGCACACAGCCGACCTGGCAGACCCAAGTTTGATTCCTCTGCCCCTCTCGGAGAGCCTGGCAAGCTACCGAGAGTATCTTGGCTGCACGGCAAAGCCTGGCAAGCTCCCCGTATTCAATATGCCAAATGTATATGGCAAGCTCCCTGATGTATTCGATATGCCAAACACAGTCTCACACTGGAGAGGTTACTGGGCCCGCTCGAGCAAATCGATGAACAATGGGAGAACAGTGACAGTGACAAGTTTTTATAAATTATACTGTGATTTACAGTACTGCTCATTATAGTTTCTCATTTGTTGTTCAGTTTTAATCAGGGTAGGCTGGAGGGACTCAGAGGTGGCCGAAGCGAATGTTTGTTAGCACTGAGGCAGAAGACTGGTGTTGGGTGTGCAGTGGTTGTGTGGCAGCTCCACTCAGTCTGCCGCCTCACCAGTCGGCAGCCACATCTCTCACACACAGCTACCCATCACCCTGCCCCGACGGGGCTGGACAGAAAGGCCAGGGTTGGCAGGTTTTCGCTTTGCTCCAGGGTGTATCTGTGACACTGGTCGTGAGAGCTGCCACCTTTCTGATCCCCTTTCTTACCGCAGGTCATTTCCTGGGCAACAACACTGTGCTTGATGTGCTGCGGCGCGAGGGCTATGAGGTAGAACACGCCCCTGCCGGACAACCCGTCAACAAGTAACCTTCCTGTGCTTCTATCCTGGGGGGATCTGCATGGGGCTGCCTGGGCCCAGAGTGGGCCGGATCCTGATTCAGCCCTAGAGGCTGCCAGCATTGGCCCTTACCTTCAACCTGAGACTAGTGGCCACTAAAAGGCCACCCAGCTGCTGGCTCAGCTTAAAGCTTTAAGTTGAAGGCGCATAAGCTGAAAGTCCAGTGCCTTTCTATCTGGGCATTTGGGACATTTTCCGGGGGCAGATGGTGGAATCAGGCATCGCATAAAATCAGAGTGGTTGGGGAGCAGGGGGTCTCTACCTTGGGGGAAGGGACAATGCCCCTCTTTTTCTCTGTTAGTCTAACCTCCCTCCCTCCCACCCCTTGTAAACAGAATAACATTTGACATTGGTTTCTAACATTATCAACTTTCCAGATGTATGGACCTGTACATCAGCATCTGTTTGTGTCTATGACATCATGCCGCTTGAGTAGTTTTCATTCTACTTCTCTTTTCTGTGCTAAAACACCATCTTTCTGCCAAGAACTCAGGAGGTCCAGCTCCCTGAACTGCTTTCTTCTATCATCTTCACTTTCTAGAAACTTTGTCTTTGTTCATAGTTTCCTCTGCCCGGGGTTAATTCATTTCTCTTGTTCCTCACTCTGCCAGAGTCTTTGAGATTCAGTGCTTGTTTCACAGTTTTTTTCCACTGTGCTGACCTGGGCGTTCCATTTTGCTGAAGCCATGACATTTGGTGTGTGCTTTTGCATTAGATCCTGATAGCTGAAAATCATGTGTGCTTCCTGAGGGTGATATTTATTGAAGTGCTTTTAGTGGAGAATTTGCCTCCAGTGCTCCTAGGTACTCACCTAGGTTTCCAAAAGAGCTCTTGTTCCTTTGGAAATGAGAGGGAGATATGCTAAGGACCTTGAGTGAGGGAAATGGTCACAATAAAGAAGTTGGTGTGGAGAGGATGGCCAGGCTAGTCACGGTGGAAGAACTGTTTCCTTCTCCCTGGCCTCCGTGGCCATATGATGATCCTTGATGGATGATTCTGATCATATAAAACTTGAATCTGGGCGGGGGTGGGGTGGGGTCTGGGCAGGAACTTTGCTAAATGGCCTACCCAGCCCCTGAGTTTTGGCCAGTATCAGGAACATAGAGAAGGGTGTTAGACTTAGGCAAAGACTACTACTCTACCTTGTCTGTAGGATGGAGTACTCAGGAAATGCTCCGTTGTGAAATTACTCCTCCCAGGGCAGAGAAAAAGAAAACATGGGGTCCTATCAGTCTGATGCTAAAGGTTCAGTCATTTCCTAATGCACCCCCACTCTTCCCAGGATAATTTTTTTTTTCTTGGTCCAAATGATCAATTAGGTTAAAATTAAAATGTTGGTAGGACTGCATTCCCCTTCTGGAGTTTGTAGGAGGTCACTAATTCTTTGCTTTTTCCAACTTAAAAAGACTATTCACATTTCTCTTCAAATTCATTTTTTTTTTTTTAAACTTCAAAGCCTACAACATTGCATCTCTCACTGACCTCACAAAGGTTCTCTGGCTTTGAGGATTCAGAGGATAAGACTGGATCTTCTGATAAGACTGGAATCAGAGGGTTGGGGATTATTCCTCATCTCAATGTCCTAAATCACATCTGCAAAATTCCTTTTACCACGCAAAGCAACATATTCAAAGATTCAGGAGATTAAGATGTAAGCATTTTGGGAAGGGGGCAGTGGTCATTTTTCTGCTTGCCCACTGACACCAGTGAAGATCTGTCTTTGGCCACACAGTGGGCTACTTCAGAGTCCCCGTCAACCCTGCTGGGGTACATATAATGTCACTCTTCCCCAGATAGAAGAAATGGGAGAAGGCAAGGCATGTAAAGTGAGTACTATCTATGCACTCAGCCCTGTGCCAAAGCCTGAAGCATGGGCTGTTTTAAACCTCCCAGGAACCTGGTGAGAGAGATCAACTTTACAGATGCAACACAGGCCCAGAGAAGTCAATTGTCCTTATCCAAGGCTCTTTCCTCCTATGTCCTCTTCTGCATGCAAGCCCAGGAGAGAGGCCATGCTAGGTCGGGTGTTCCTTTCTTGGAGCATCCCATTGAGTTAGTGGACTGAACTGCAGGCAGAAATAAGCAGGCTCACAATGAAATGGTCCTATCTTATGGCCCAATGATCATGGGTCAAGGCTTCATGAATAATTTACCTGTGATATGGTATTTAAGCCAGCCTGGAAGCTCTGAGATGAGTTAGCTAAAATTTTCAGACCTGGCCATGCCTACTGCTAAGGCGTGATCTGAGATCATGTGATTTTCAAAAACTTTGCTTCTAGAAATGTCTTCCTGGTGACCACAAATGTATTAATCGAGTTCAGCGTTCTCCCCCCCCCCCCCCTTTTAAGTGTTATCGTCTTTAGTGACTTTCTAGACTGGTGACCCATTGTTACAGAAGGGCTGTGATTATATGCAGTTTAAAGAAATGTTGGATATCCACTCCAGGGCTAGGCAGCTCAGGAGAAATACAGGCACAAAGTGGTCAAGTCTTGAGGTTGCTCAAAGAACCCTGCTCTCTTCATTGAATTTCCCCATTATCTGACTGCTGAGTGGGCCTTAGGGGGTGCATGGTGTGGTGTGGTGTGGTATACCCCCAATTCCAAGGACGACCTCCCACCCGTTTCCAGAGAGAAGAGCAGCAGCGCCTCGTTGCTGCCTGCTCCTCCTGTGGTCTTTGACCCAGAAGAGGCCGCCCTGGAGGTGCTGGCACCGGAAGCTGGACCTGTGGCTCGCTCCCTGACGCCACCACGCTTGCCCCTAAGTGGAAACGTCGGCCTGGGCCTGTTGGAAGGGATGGAGAGGAAGTTCCGGAAGAAGCGGAGGCGGCCCCCACGAAGACAGCACCTACGGCAGTTCAGTGACCTGTGGGTCCGACTAGAGGAAAGGTGAGGTGGGCAGACTGGGCCAGGCCAGGCTGGGTTGACCCCCACCTGAGGCCGATTGCCACCCAGCGTTCCCCAGCCCAGGGGAGTACTGGTAGGGGCAGACCACGGATGCCCGCCCCACTGCTTACGGGCAAAGATTACAGGGCAAAGGTCCAGCTGCCCCTCTTGGAGCATCCTACTCCGTCCTCGCTGCCCTGGGCACCGCGGATGCATCCCGAGGAGATGCTTTCTCAGTTTGCTTCAAGGGCAGCATCTTTGTTCGAGAGCAAATAAAGGGAGGGAGGTAAAGGCAGGGTCAGTGAAAGTAGAAAGAGGGTCTTAGGTGAGGCTCCATGGTGCCGAGAGTGCATTGTGGCACCACCCCACATGCTGACTGGGTACAACAAATTGGGCCATTCCAGCACAGTGCATCTGAGTGTAAGCACCACACAAAGTGTGTCACCCACTTCCTCTCAGAACACTGCAGCCAGCACGTGAGATCGCAGTAACCAGGTGCCCCCTTCTCCAGCAGGGACCATATGCAAAATGGGAATGTGGAGTGTCACATCTGAAGTGTGTGAACCCCACCCCCCCCCACAAGAACAATATTTGAACTATGGGAGTGGCATGGAACTCCACCACCAAGTGTGAACCTCTGGTCCTGGCAACAGTGACAATGAGAAAGGGTCAAACGGGAAAAAAAATGTAGTTGGGAAGAAGGTTGTCAAGAGCTTGATTTTTCAGTCCTTTCCCCTCTGCAGATCAGGGGGAACCTTTACAGCTTTGAAGAACTAAACACTCTTCTCTAAAATGGGTTCGTGCAGCTTAGCTGAGTCATAGTTAGAGAAAGTTGGTGACTAGACTCCTGGTGGTGGACCAGAGCTGGAAACGGGAGCCTGGTCTGCAGGGCATACAACCTCTGGAAGAACTACATCACAGAAATTGGTCCAATTCAGTGCGATCCTTAATTTCACCCACTGTTATGTTGGGCGCTGTGGCTTTGGAGTGAGACATCCCTTCCTTCATGGAACTCAGAGTTGGGGGATGGAGGGTTGGCACTGAAGTTGAGTTAACTACATGCAAAGGAAGAGCAGGGTACACATGACATATTGGAGATTATTGCTTAGGAAGGGTTGGGTGGGCCTGGGGGGTGTTGCATAAAAGGCTCCTTGGAAGAAGGCATCTCTGGGTGGTATTGAGTAGATGCCTGTAAAAGTGGAGCCCGATGAATCAAGCTCTGGCGTCTGCATCCACTGAGTCCAGTGACTGGACTGGATTGGATTGGAGGATCTAGTACCAGCATAAGGTGCTTAGTACCTGCATAGGCATTTAACACATGTCAAATGAATGTGTTAATGCCTGAACAAGGGAAAGGAGTTCCAGGTAAAAGGAACAGTGTGAATGCATTGTGTGGAGATAGTATTCATGTGAAGGGGACCATGATTAAGAAGTTTTGTTAGAGTCTAGAAGGTCCAGAAGGGTGGGGTGAGATGACTGTGAGAATCTTGTATGTAAGTGGGGAAGCCTCTGAGAGGTTTGAAACAGGCATTTGCTGTTTGATTTGTACTTATGTTTCGTTTAAAATAAATTTGGAGGGGGGGGTGCTGGAGCGATAGCACAGCGGGTAGGGCATTTGCCTTGCACTCAGCCGACCCGGGTTTGATTCCCAGCATCCCATATGGTCCCCCAGGCACCGCCAGGAGTAATTCCTGAGTGCAGAGCCTGGAGTAACGCCTGAATATTGCCGGGTGTGACTCAAAAAGCAAAAATAAATAAATACATAAATAAAATAAATTTGGGTCAGCAGTAGCATTGCACAGGAGGCTCAGGGATACTCCTAGAAACATGTGGCTGGGACCTGTGGACCTTATGGTTCAGTGCTCTGGCCTGGTGCTGAGGTTCTCAGGCTGGTGGTCTTTGGGGGCCTCAAATCTGGAAGCTCACACATGGTGCGCATATGTGTCCTTTCCCCTTAGGCTCCCTCCTCCTCTCCTTGCTTTGTAGTTTTAAATGATCAGAAAGTGGCAGCCAAATGGGAACTGGACACAGAACAGAACCTGCAAGTGATCATTCCTGTAGGGGTGCTCAAACAGGCTACTGTTCAAGCAGCCTCACTGCTTTGAACTTTGCCCTGGCAGGACTTTCCCAGTCCTGTCCATTTCCTGTCAGAGTAACCATGCATGGGATTGGACACTTAATATCTGAGCTGAACTGAAAAGTGAGTCCAAGTTCTTGACCTACTATATAGTGTTCATAGCAGTCCCAAACTGTGGAGTAGGGGCAAGACCAGAGACCCAGGTGGGACGCCTCTTGGTCTGGCTCTTCCTCTGTGTGTGCTCAGTGGGGAGGGTCCTTGCTTGAGATTTTCCAGAGGCTCATGATTAACAACCCTGAGCAGGGTCACTCCCATTTAGTTTTAATAATCCCTGAACCAAGCTCGTGACAGTGACTTCTGGTTCTTATCTTAGTTCCTGCCTTGTTGCTGCTGTGATGATGAGGGCTCAGGCCCAGGGGCCCTTAACATGCTGAGCTCCATTCTTGGTGAGAATGGAGATGAAGGAATGTTGCAGGCATCTGGGGGCCTTGAAGTAGCTGGTGGCCATTGCTGTGCCCTGAGACTCTTTTTCTTTGCCTCCTAGCGCTGTGGTCCCGCAACTCCCAGTACCTGTTTTGGATGGGCACATCACCAGGCTGCAGCTCCCGTACCATGGCCATTCTCGTCATGGTCAGATGGTGACCAGCAGTGCCTGCCTGTGTCTCTGGACTCCTGGCTTCTGGGTTCTGGTGCTGACTTTCCAAACTGACACACGGCTCTTGTAATGATCAGAGGAGTCTTAGCCCACTGGACTTGAAGAATGATCATTCTCGCTCTGCCACTCTGGTCTGGTCCTGATAGGCCCAAACCAGAAGAGACAACAATAAAAGCCACCTTCGAGTCTTCTCTTTTCTGAAATGACTTTGGGTTCTGCTACATTACTTGAGATGTACAATTTTATAACATAATGACTTGCATGAAAAGAATTGTAAATGAGTTGTATGAAAATAATTAAACTTTGTGTATTTTCCTCTACAGTGTGTATCTATTATATAAACTATTGCTCACATTCTGAATCCTACTTTATTTTGGGTTTCCCTACTAGACTCAGCTGTAGCAATGGTGGATCCTAATCCTTTTGTTCTTGCTTTCCTTTTCCCTGTTTACTTTGGTTTGGACACTGGGTAGTCAGCCCAGGGCCATTCTTGGTCTTGTTTTACATAGGTGAGCAGAGCTTCATCATGCGCATGTTAGTATGTTTTACCCACCTGTTGGTTAGTGGTTTTTTTTTTTTTTCTCTTTTGGGTGATACCCAGTGCTGCTCAGGGATTACTCCTGGCTCTGCACTCAGGAGTTACTCCTGGTGGTGCTGGAGAGACCATATGGGATGCTGGGGATTGAACCTGGGTTGGCTGCTTGCAAGGCAAATACCTTACCTGCTGTACTATCGCTCCGGCCCCAGTTAGTGGTTTTCTAACTCTTTTCTAACTCTTCTCCTGCCTGGCTTGTTATTTATTATTTATATGCTTATATCTTTTTCAAATAAAACCTTTATGGGAAATCTCAGAGCACAACTGCCTTAGTTGAGTCTGAAATGGGAACAGGACTACAGGCTGATGGTAACCCTCTGACTTCTGCATCTTCTGCCTGTTCCTTCATGAAATACTGAGAATTGTTTCAGGAACTAATAGACGTGAACTTTTTTGCATCTCTACAATTTGTGTCTGTTGACTTTGGTAGGTACAGGGATCAAGGTGAAGGTAGGAAGGTGGAGGTCAAATTGAGAGTAGGGTTACCATGTTCACCTTGTTCTCCCAGCTCTCCAGAAGAGGATGGTGTGACTCTAGTCTGGAGGGCTACATCTATCTGGGTGGTTCCCATGTCTTGGCTCATGTTCTGGCCAAGGAAACACAGACTTGTTGGCAGGCCTGACACACAGCTGCCCCATCTTCACACCGTTCTAGCAGTCTTGCCTTGATGTGGCAGGGGTTCAGATGCTCCTGGTTGGGACTTGCCATATTTCACACAACTTCGTCCCCATATCAAAGAGAAAATTTCCTGTGCACTGGGACAGGGCTGAATTGCACTTTGGGTGAAAGTACAAACTTATTATTGAGGCCCCTGTGAGGTAAGGAATGTAGAACCACAGGCCAAGATATTAACTTGCACATTTGCTCCATTCATTGTTGAAATCTCTGTACCAACCTCAGCTATGGAGCCCTGGCACCAGAAGACAGAAGTGTGCACTGCCCTTTCAGTCGGTGTGATGGGATAGGAATCCCTGTGTGTAGGAAGTGCTGGGATCTGACTCTGCCCAGAGAGTCCACAAAGTAACTGCTAGGAGCTGCCTGGCTCTCACAAGGGAGTGGGGAAGCGAGTTTATGAAGTGGAACTGTCACGATCACGATCACGACCATCCTGTTGTTCGTCCATTGCCTCGAGCAGGCCCCAGTAACGTCTCCTTCGTCTTAGCCCTGAGATTTTTTTTAAAAGTGCCATATTCAAGGCTCTTTCAGGGTTAGGAGAATGAGACCCATCATTGTTACTGGTATTTGGCATATTGGGTATGCCACGGCGAGTTTGCCAGACTCTGCCGTGTGGGCAGGTTACATTCGGTAGCCTGCCAGTTTGTCCAAAGTAGGGATGAGATGATAAAATGTCCGGGAGCTGAGTGTGATAATCTCTGGATCCTGGCCGTTGTTGGGGTTACACGGCAGTTGGTGGGTGTAACTGTCTAGCTACTGGCAGGTCCAGTCCCAAACCATGCAGGCTTGGAGATCTCAGCCCCGGGTCCAACACACCTGGGTTCCTCTGCCAGTTCTTTTTTGTATGAGGCTCATCCAAGTGCGTGGAGAGTGGTCCCAGCATGGCCTTGGCTGGGCCCCGGTGGTCTTCAGCTGATGGGCCCTGGTGGAGACAGTCAGGCATAGGGTAGGAAACTCTGCCTTGTTCTCTCCCAGGAGCTGAGTGTGATAATCTCTGGATCCTGGCCGTTGTTGGAGTTACACGGCAGTTGGTGGGTGTAACTGTCTAGTCACTGGCAGGTCCAGTCCCAAACCGTGCAGGCTTGGAGATCTCAGCCCCGGGTCCCACACACCTGGGTTCCTCTGCCAGTTCTTTTATGTGTGAGGCTCATCCAAGTGTGTGGAGAGTATCAGGATATGGAAACAACTCAAATGTCCAATGACAGAGGTATATGATATATAAAAAAATGGAATATTATACGGCTATGAAAGGATGAAATCATGCAGTTTGCAGCAGTATGGACAGAACTGGAGGCCACCATGTTAAAATAAATTAGAACTTCAAGAACCAGATGATCTCACTCATCTTGGGTATCTGAGAGGCAAAACAAGGGGATAAACAATATTGAACAATCACAGATCCTTGGACTTGGATGACAAAACTCCTAAACTGTGGTGGGAGAGATGGGGGGAAGGAAGAGATGACTGGAAATAACAAGGACAGTGGAGGAGGACCATAAATACTTTGATGGTGGTGAGGGTGCAGTAGTTTTGTACATTAGAACCATAAACAGTAACACTATTGTAACCACGTTACCTAAATTATAATAAAATAAAATGAGAAATGGGGCTGAACCCACTGCTTTCACATCAGAGTTTGAATTGTCAATTAAATATTTTAATGTTATATTGTAAGAGAAATTAAAGCTACATTTTGCCACACATAAAAAAAATAGAAGAAACAGTCTTGCTCACGTAGATGTTAAGGCCAAGCTCTGTCTAGCTGCCTGCCTCAGCATCGAAGGGATCTTTTCACTCATTCAGCTGGCAGAGCAAAGCTGATCCCTTGGCTATCCAGTAGTCCTTGGGCCGCTTGGAGGGTAAGTGGATGGTCACTACAAAATTAGTTGAATGACCTAGTTAAGGATACAGGGGGAAAATAAGGAGAGTCATTAAAGTCATTAAAGAGTCATTGTTTCAAAGAGCACTGTTCTAAGAGTCAAAGCACCTGGGTGTCAGATCTCTTTCCACCAATATTTCAAAATCTATGGGAACAGTCCTCTTGTAGTTCACTTTTCTTGGGGGCTACAACTGGCAGTGCTGGGAATCACTCCTGAAGAGGCTCAGGGCACCATATTGGGTCACTTGGAACTGAACTTGGGTTGGCCGCATGCAAGTATTCTCAACTTCTATATTATTTCTCTGTCCCTGTAGTTTTACTATCTACAGCACTACTGTAGTTTTTAGGACTAGTTTTTCTTTGATTTTATAGCCATACAAACTCTGCAGTTCATGTAGTGTTATGCTGTGCAGCATATTTTAATTAGTATCACTTGTTCCTCCTGTTAATTAAAGCTTATATGTTGGAATTTTAGCCAGTATTAAGAAGACATGATTCAATTAAAAAACAGGCTAAAGACTTGTACACTTAATCAGAGAAGACATAAATAAGCTTTAAAAAGATGGGTTAATATCATTAGGGAAATGCAAATTAGGGAGATGTCACTTTGTTGTCTTTTGGGTTTGGGGCCATATTCAGTGGTGCTCAGGGCTTATTCCTGGCTCTATGCTCAGCGTTCACTGCTAGAGGTGCTTGGGGGACCATGTGTGGTGCTAGGGATCAGCCAGGGTCAGCCGCATGCAAGGTGAGTGCCTTAACTCCTGTACTATTATCTCTACAGTCTTGAGATGTTACTTTTTTTTTTCTTTTTGGGTCACACCCGGCGATGCACAGGAGTTACTCCTGGCTCTGCATCAGAAGTTACTCCTGGCGGTGCTCAGGGGACCATATGGGATGCTGCGAATTGAACCTGGGTTGGCCGCGTGCAAGGCAAACACCCTACCCGCTGTGCTCTCTCTCCAGCTTCGAGATGTTACTTTTTATCTCTTGATTTATTTATCTATGCACCCAGCCTTCCACTGCTATACTAAGCCTTGGCCTTACCTTGTGAGACTAAAGTGACTGGAAAATCAGTTCTGGGAAATTATTAGCCATTGTTGCTTCAGGTGTTACTACTCTCTATATATTATTCCAAACTATCCTGTAGATAGATGTTGGGAAATCGGGCTTTTTAAACAGTGATGCTTTAGCTTTTAGAAATTGTATTGTGCTATGTTTTTAGGAATTCCACCAGCTAATTTTCTTTGCTCACTCTTAACTGTCTATATGAAATTTTATTTGTTAATAAGGTTTCCTTTCCCTCTGGCTCTTTTTTTTCCCCAGGAACTGTATCTCAAATTTTGGTCTACTCAGATTTCCTTTTCTTGGTGGCATGGCTTTCCATTTATTGGTTGTTCTAAAGAATTTATTGTGTATCACAAGTCTCAACAGATTTGGAGAGGAATTGAGACATAAGTTTCTGAATCGCCCAACTTTCAGAATTAGAAGTCAGTGCTTAACAAACCGTTTTCTACTTATTAAGCCAAGAGAAGTTAGCATTAGCTTTATAATGCTCCACTCAGTATTAAGATAAAGAGTTTGTAATATGTTAAGTCTAGCCAACTCCCTTCACATACTGAAGTTTAGTGCCTGGAATCTGACTGGACTCTGCATTTGGTTATTCTTGGTTCTAGGCTCAGAACATCCTCACCTGTGGTTGAGAGCGTGCCTGCTCGTGCCCCAGTTTTATAAAGTGGGGAGTGATAAAGTGTTGGGTTTGGCTCGTAATTCTGTTGAGGTTCAAAGTGCACCACCGGCAGCATTGGATTCATCTGTCCAGGCAATGCATCTTCTATCACCATATTCTTATTGTCCCATCGAGAAGCATCCATGAATATCCCATGAACAAGAACACCATCCTGAGGATGGGGCAACTGAAAGCCAGAAATTTAAAGGTGAGGTGAGAAGAAGGGTAGATATTTTGGGATTTTCGACCATATCCTATGTTGCATGTCCTCATAATTAACAAATGTCATTTTTTGTTTTGGGGCCACCCCTGGCAGTGCTCAGGGGACCATATGTAGTGCTGAGGATTGAGTCTGGGTCAACCACATGCAAGTGACTTAAATACCGTACTGTTTCTTTGACTATGTGTTTGTATTCGTAAGTTCGCAGGGGATTCTGCTGCTGCTGGTCTGGGAGTCCCAGAAGAGGTTGTGCTTAAAGAACCTCTGCTCTAGAGAGAGTTAGTTAAGGTTAACAGTTAAGGTTAACTGTGTAAGCAGTAGTGTTTAAAGAGCTCAATTTATTTATTTCTATTAGCTATGCACTGTGGTGGTACGATGTGGGCTGTTAACCTACCCATTCTGCCAGGAGGCAGCTGAGTTAATGGCGCACATAAATTCATTGTGTACATACATTGACAGGGAAACACTATGCACAGTTTCAATTCCACTGCACTACCATGTTAAGGTTGGCTCCAGCCCCATTTTGCAGATGAGAATACTGAAGTAAAGACAGGTTAGCAATTGCTATAGAATACACTGAAAGGGAGAGGGAGTACAGAATTTAAACTCAGATCTAATCCTAAAACCAGTTTTTCACATCTGACTATATTGCCCCTGCAATAATGAGAAAGTTACTGGAAGTGTCTAAAGAAATAAAAACAGCACTGCAGCTGGAGTGCAAGCTGGTGCTTGCCTTACATGTGGTGGATCCGGGTTCAATCTCTGGCATCCTGTATGGTCTCCTACTGCCAACAGGAATAATTCCTTAGCACAGAGCCAGGAGTAAGCCCTGATCCCAAAATAAAAAAATCCCCAAACAAACAAACAAACAAACAAAAAAAAATCTAAAGCAATAAAAATAGCACTGTCAAAAAGACGGACAGGGTTAAAGCACTTGCCTTACATATGCCAAGTCCAGATCAATCCCCTGTGTTGCCTGTTCTCTGAGCACTGCTGAGAGTGATCTCTCAAGCACAAAGCTAGGAGTAGCCTCCTAAGCACTTTTGGGTGTAACTCAATGGAACCCCAGCCCCTGCATAAATACAAAAACCAAAAAAGCCAGCAGTGCTTTAGTATGTATGCATCAGGCAGTGTTCAGGGTTTACTCCTGGCTTTGCACTCAGGAATCACTCCTGGTGGAGATCAGGGAACTATATGGGGTGCTGGGGATCAAACCCAGGTTGATTGCATGCAAGGCCAGTGCTCTGGGGCTGGTGCAATAGCACAGCGGGTAGGACATTTGCCTTGCACGCAGCAGACCCGGGTTCAATTCCCAGCATCCCATATGGTCCCCTGAGCACCGCCAGGGGTAATTCCTGAGCGCAGAGCCAGGAGTAACCCCTATGCATCGCTGGGTGTGACCCAAAAAGCAAAAAAAAAAAAAAAAAAAAAAAAAAAGAACAAGGCCAGTGCTCTACCCACTAAACTAATTTTCTGGCTCCACTTTCAAAATACAAGAATCATTCTACTTCAGACCGTTCCCAGCTTATTATTACCAAGGGGGTAGCTTTTCTTGGGAGACGTGAGCCCCCATCTTGCCCTTCCTGCTTCAGTCTATGTGGAAGGCAGTTGAGGTGTGGTTCAAGGGAGGGTGTTTGAAACTATGATGAGTGGGACAGTGCTTTGCTGTCACAACAGTGGAGGGGATGATACCTCTTGGTCCATAGGCAATTCTTGTCCGAACTGCACAGTCTTGGCGGCGTCTACAACAGCAGCTTGATCTCGATAGTGTGGAACTACATTGTACTTGAAGTTCAGCTCATCAATAGGTAAACTATATTTTCGTGCGTGATTCTGAAGTGTCCCTGAAAGCATGACAATGAAAGTAAGAAAGATTAGTTCTTTCCAGAAAATCCTGACTGCCCAAACTAGCCTCCATGTGCTCAGCCTGGCTGCTTATACACAACTTTCTCTTCATTGAGAAGACCCAGCTGTTGCCTCCTGATTCTGACTTCGGGCAGGAGATGGGACTCTGGAGGTGATGCCAAGTCAATGGTTGGGGAATGAGGGGAGAAGGCCAAGCTGAGTGAGTACTGCTCTGCTGGTGAAGGAGGCAGGTCAGTGAGGGTGGTCTCTGATCCTCCCAATTTTAGAAGTGTGTTCAGTTTGTTTTTACTGTTATTAAGGGTTACCACTCTTGTGGTGTTTCCTGATCAGAATTCCTACCAGATGTGGCTCTGAGTTAGGGTTGGAGCAGATGGTGCACATGGGTTGTACTTGGGACCCACAGTGTGTATTCCCAGGCTCAGCTGCCCTTGCCCTTATGTCACTGGAGAGGGGCAGGTCTTGGGTTGTTGGGCAGCATCCCCTATTTCTGCGCAGCCATGAGGGTGCCCCCATGTTCCGCCACACTATTTCTCAATTTCTGGTAACCCATTTGGGACTCATCATGGACTTTTCTAAGGATTTCTAGGGTGAGCTTTGATACCTGTTAGAAATCCTTGAGGGAAGAAGAAACCAGAGATCCAGAAAGACCGGGGCTGTCCTCTTTTGAGCCACAACTAAAGGAGAAACATGATACACGATGTACTCTCTTTCTGATAGTTTAATCACTGAAGTCAGTCATATTTCAAGAACTTAGGAGGCAAAATCTAAACCAGTACTTATTTTCTTACTCCCATTCTTACAGCTTCCCTTATTTCTCTTTAGGATTTTGTTTCGTTTGTACTGTTTTTGGCCCATACCTGGAGGTACTCCAGGTTTATTCCTGGTTCTGTGCTCAGGGATCATTCTGGGCAATGCTGCTAGGTACTTGTGGTGCTGGGAACTGAACTCTGGTCAGCTGCATGAAAGATAAAGGCTGCACTATTGCTCCAGTCCTTTGCTTCCCTTGTCTCTGTTCCCCACTCTGGCCACAAATTCAAGTCTGGTTATTTATGGGGGATGGGGAAGATTTAGAAATTGCGCCCATACCGTTCTGGTTCTGTACTTCATACAGTGAAGGTGCAAGGACTAGATCTAAGCCTCCAGAGATGGCCTGGAGTGAAAATAGAATGCAGGGATCAGGGCCCAGGCAACTCCCCTAGTGATAAACATACTATTTTCAAAGTGATGCCATTTCTGTTTTTTTTTTGGTTCAAAAGATCCCTCTAAAGTTGTACATTCTCTAGGGCTTCTTGTGGAAGGGCCAGAAAAGTGCTACCAGATTCAATCTCCAAAGACATGACTTTGCTTACATCCACAAATGCTGTCCTCAGGATCAGGTCTTTGACCCACGATCCCAGCGGCTTCAGGGATGGGTAGGCTGTGTTGGACCACAAAGAAGGAACCTGGTTGTTGATGAAACTGTGATACACTTTTTCCATTTCTTCTGACATTACTACAAATCCAGCAATGGCTTTGTTGAGCATTTCTAGAGAAGTCTGAAAGAATGAAAGAATGAAAGTCTGAAAGGTTTGGTGCCCTTCACAGATATAATTATCAACAAGCAATGCCACTTGTTTATGGTGGCAACAGCTGTCTGCACACTCTTGCTAGCCAGGCCCTCCAATCTTTCATGCACATTTACGACTTGTAGCCAGAGGGCCTGGGGAATGAATCCGGTTTAACTGCCCTTCATTTAGGAATCCAGTGAAGTGGAAAGAAGGGCAAGAGAAGTGTCCTGAGTCATGCTTAGGATATAAGACAGGATAAAAGAGGGAAGAGGATATGTAATGTCACTCATTCACTAGACCAATAGTAGAAAAAAAATTAGTAGAAAAAGTTGAGAGTAAATTCAATTTTAGACTATGAAGTGTTATGAATGAATACAGATGGAAATTCAAAAGATCACTTTTGGGAATAGAACATTCTAAAAGCATTTATGTTACTATGCATGTGGTACAAAGGTCTGATACCCAACAGGGAAGGTCAGTGGTCTTACGTGTATTAGCTTCAGCAGATTGTTAAATCGGTCCACTTCTTGTCCCAGAACAGTGGTCAAGGAGTTAAGGCGACCTTGATGATCCTTGACAAAAAGGCTGTCAGTAGCACTTTCCATTTCTAATTTTTCTGAAACACAGAAGTAATTTCTCAGGCCATCTGTTACTGCTTTCTTCCCTTACAGCATTACTTCTATAATGTGTTTACCCGCACCCTTTAAAAGTTTATTTCTCTTGTGCCTGGGTCTTGACTGAATGGGAGTCAGGTCATCCACACTTCAGTATCAAATACCAGAAGGACAAGGGACATTCCGACACTTCAGGTGTCAGGGGCTGGAAGCCCACAGCTTCCCTATGCAGGAATGTTAAACCCACACATCCGCATTGCATGCTCGAGAGGAGGGGACCAGGGCAGGAGTCTGAGAGAGGAGACACACTTAGCGTTTATCCCAAGTTACTTAGCATTATTTAAAGGGACTGACTGAATTACTAAATAGATTCATGGGTCAAACTGGATAGAAAATTTTGTTCTTTTTTCTCTACAATCCAGAAAGTGGAGGTTCATGTTAGTCATTAAAAAAAAAATAAAAAAAGAAGTCATTACATTACATTACATTAAGACAGACATTGCATATCTTGTCTTAAGTGTGAGTAAGTAAATGAGTGGTCCTGAAATACATTTACTAAATTTCCTCTTATACACTCATGTTTTGGCTGCCGTAGAGCAGTTATACAGTAGTATGGTTTAGTACTGTCTCAGGGTGCTGTGACTCCATATCCCTGGGTATTCAGCTGTCCTCCCCACAGGTTCTTACTGTGTCAGCCCTCTCCCTGCCCCTCAGCCTCAGCTGATGTTACTGTTTCACAGGCAATGTTCAAGCTTTTATGATGCTTGGAAAGAAAAATTTCATAGTCATCCATCTATGCATTCCTTTTCCAGCTAACCCTCCATCATATTTTTTATTAGATCTGCTTCCTAAAATAGCTGGGTGAACATTCATAAAATTCTCCCCTCCAATATGTATTCTTTTGAGCGCCTGTTTTAAGTAGGAGATAACTGTCTTACTTCTGAGCTCACATAGCCACTTTTCCTTTGGTAGCCATACGAAAATTGACAAGTCATATTGTGATTCCATAATATCACAAGAAATGTATATATATATTTATACATATATATGTATTGCTTTTTGGGTCACACCCGGTAATGCACAGGGGTTATTCCTGGCTCTTCACTCAGGAATTACTCCTGGCGGTGCTCAGGGGACCATATGGGATGCTGGGAATCAAACTCAGGTCGGCCGCGTGCAAGGCAAACACGCCCTACCCGCTGTGCTATTGCTCCAGCCCCAGAAATGTATATTTTTGTCTTTGTCCCTGACTATTGGACACAACTCCTAAAACCCTTAATTTCCCAAGCAATACCTGATAGAGTACTAGTTAAGATATATTTATGTAAGTTAGACTATGACTCCTGAGTGATTTAGATGAAAAAACTCTTGTTTCTCATAAGTCCCTCTAACATCATAGCTTATGTAAAGTAGGTCATTTTGGGGGGCGACTCCCTAAGGGTAGGGGTGGAGCCTGCATATTAGGGGAACCAGGCAGTGATTAGAGGATTAAGAGGAAAGGGCCTGGTGAGTTGAATCGATCACTAATAGTCAATGATTATAGTCAACCCTGATAAAATCCTAATCAAAAGGGGTTTGGAGACATAATGCCCAAAAGGGGGGGGGAAGAAAGAGGGAGAGGGGAGAGCGAGAGCGAGCGAGCGAGCGAGCGAGAGAGAGAGAGAGAGAGAGAGAGAGAAAGAGAGACCATGCCACGGGGGGGGGGGGCGGGGGAGCAGGAGGAAAACGGGTCATTGGTGGTGGGAAATACACACTGGTGGAGAGATGGGCGTTGGAATGTTATATGACTGAAACAGCTTTATAACTGTGTATCTCATGGTGACTCAATTCAAAAACAAAACAAACAACAACAAAACAAAGGGTTTTGGAGAGCTTCTAGGTTGGTGAACACATCTGTGTGCTGGGAAGGTCGTTTCCTGCCTCCCTGGGCACTAAAGCAACCACACACAGAACTCTGGACCTTCCCTATGTACCTATTTATCTTTATTATGTCCTATGTAATAAGAATAAAAAATTGCATTCTTTATTACATCCTAAGTAGAAACTCGAAAATGTGAATAAGTGTTTCTCTGAGTTCTCTGAGTCACTACAGCAATTCATAGAAATCCAGAAGGGGTTTGTAAGAACTATCATTTAGAGTCAGCTCACCATAAGCATAGGATACTGTTTGGAACAATATATTGGCACATGAAATGTGGGACACTCTGGTGGGACCAAGTCCTTAACCTGTGGGATCCGCATTCACTGTAGACTATTCAGTTGGTGTCCAGAGAGTAGGAGAATTACTTAGTGAGGAGAGATCCCACACATTTGGTGTTAGAAATTTGACCAGAGAGAAAACAGTAGTAGATTAAGATATCTATAGACTTTTGCAGAAGATTAAGATATGTAAATCTCTTGTTATTCTAATAACATGTAAGTATGAACCTCTGTGATTGTTCAGGATATCTCCTGAACTCTTCAGAAGACAGACACCCCTAATATTTTTGGCAGCTTATATATTGAGGAGAAGTTGGACATGTGTACTTTTTATATGGAGAGTGCCACATAAGAAGGAAAAAAAAGAGAAAGGAATAGTTGGATTTCATCCCAATCCCTGTGTTAAGGTGGATTTTTAGGTAGACTGATAGCAAGATTTGGATACTTCCTATCACTCAGCTCTGAGTTTATTACTATAAGTCCCATTAAATACAGATACAGGAATTTCTTATTACCTGGAACTCTGGATCGGATAGAAGCAACAAGGTCTTGAACAATTTCATCATTGCTTTTCCCCTCTCCACTGGAAGATGACCTTGGTTGAACCTCAAGTATGATGTTGATGAAAGTGTTGGTCTCCTTGTACTGAGATGGTGGGAAGAGGCACAACAGTAAAGACTCATTCTCAAAAACTGGTTTTCTTGCAGATACAACGAGCAGTTGTCAAACAAGAAAATTTGGGACTTGAGTACTCCAGTGGGTAGGGAACTTGCCTTGTACTTGGTGGATTCATATTTGATTTCTGGCACCCCAAGGTAGGTGTTTTGGGCCGCATCTGGCTTTGTTTAGGGTTTACTCCTAAGCATTACTCCTGAGCATCACTCCTGGTGGTGCTCAGGGGACCATGTGGTTCTGGGGATATAACCTGGTTGGCCACATGTAAGGCAATCACTTTGCCTGCTGTACTATCTCTCTGGCCTACAATTCTGCATTTCTGTATGTTGTTTTCTGTCCCTTGTCCTTGAGTATCTTCATCCTTAGCCCCATCAGCCTTTAATGATAAAGGAGACAGTAGATCTCTGCTTGCCCACAGACTATGTAAATGACCCTTTACTTGTGCTTATAAATTCTCTTGGGAGCCAAATCACTGCACTGAGGAAGGAATGATTTGTATTTTTATGGAAGATACTCTACAGATGGCCAGAAGCAGAATTACCTAAGTCATCCAACAGAAAGCAAAGCAGTCTGTTGACTCAACAAAGCTGGGAAGAAGAGAACACAAATTGTGTTGTGTGTGTAGAGGGGGTCACAAGCATAGATTATGATGGAGCCTCGAAAGCCATGCTGAGGAGGTTGTTCTACTCCTTTTTCTTTCTTTTTTTAGTGAAACACCATGAGGTACAGTTGTAGACTTACATATTTTTGTGTTTGGGTTTCAGTTATACAATGATCAAGTACCCATCCCTCCACTAGTGCCCATTCTCCACCACCAATGAACTCAGTAGCCCTCCCCCTCACCCCACCCCTACCCTGTCCCACCTCTATGGCAAGGCATTCCCTTTTGCTCTCTCTTTCCTTTAGGGTTTTGTGCTTTGCAATAGAGGTATTGAGTGGCCATCGTGTTCGGTCTATAGTCTCCTTTCAGCGCACGCCTTGCATCCTGAGCAAGACCTCCAAACACCCTTTACTTGGTGTTCCCTTCTCTATCTAAGCTGCATTTTCAGGTTGTTCTACTCTTAGATAATTGTGCTCATAGCAGATAATGAAGGAGTAAAATTCTCATTTGCTGTTTGAACCTGCTGTTGTCTGGTACTGTGATACTGATAAACTATATCTTAAAAAAATATTGTAGTTTAGGTAACATGGCTACAATAGTGTTAATGTTTATGGGTTGTTTTTAGGTCACACCAATGGTGTCCAGGACTTCTTCTTGCCTTTGCACTTAGGAATTACTCCTGGAGGGCCTAGAAAACCATATGGGGCACTGGGGATAGAATCTGGGTTGGCTGCGTGCAGGCAAGCACCCTCCCTACTATACTATGACTCAGGCCCCAATGTTTATGGTTTCAATGAGCTGCACCTTCATCACCATGAATATGCTCCAAACCTTTCCACTACTGCTTGTGTGTTACTTCTTTGAATAGTGCCTTTAAGAGCATGGTTTAACTTCTCTGCTTTGAATATTTGTTTTGAACTGGAGTAACCCAGTGGTTATCAATGGATCCATAAACCTCGTGGAATGCATCCAGAGTGTGGCAGAAGGAAAAAAAAAAGAAAGCAATAGCTGGATTATCACCCAAATCCCTGTGTTAAGTTGGATTTTCAGGTAGATTATATGATAAGCAGAGGAGCAGAAACTGGAGGAGGAGATGAGAAAGAGGAGGAAGAGGATTAGAGACAGATAAAATGATCTGAAGATCCAGTGATGTTATTATTGATGTTTCAAGTTTATACACATAATATAAATATGTATTTATTGTATTGTATATATTGTAGACACGTAATTCAAATATGTATTTGAAGCTCGTATACCACATACCTGGTATACGAGGTTAGCATTTTCATGCATTCCAAATATTTCTGGATCATCTATCAAGGGCAGATTTTCAATGTAGTCCCTAAATTCTTGTAGGCTGTCAGCCATGGGTGCAAAATAGATACCTGTATTGAAAATACAAAAGGTAAATGCGGCTTCATTTTCACTTTGCACTCAAACTTGAGTGCTTCTGACTATGGAGAAGGGGATTGATTTCCCCAGACTGTCTTGCTTTTATTGCTGTTCAGTTTCTTTAAATATTTCTGGAGGACTTGGAAATTCAAACCACTGAGGTGTCTCCTGAAGACATCACAATATTCTGAGAATGCTGCTGACAGTTGTGCCTTGTTACTACCTCTGATTCACAAAACTTTAAAAACACGTTTAGAAAGAATACAACAAACTTTAGAACAGAACCAAGTGGCTATTATACAAGATATATATTTTTCCTCTTTACCAGACCAGTGCTGATGTTGGTCATGCACGAAAATGGAACTGGTAGGAGAGTCTAAGTAATGAAATCAGAGCAGAGGGAGCTACTAAGAGGTACTATGAGCAATGAATTCTTAGCCCAGATCTACTCCCATAATTTGAAGAGCTGTTCACCTGATTCCGAATATGTATAATTCTCTTCTAATGTTTCTGGAGAAAAAAATTTTTTCAAGACAGTGCGGAGACATCTCTGGTCCCAGGTGTCTGTAACTCTACCACCATATGTAATTTCACCTGGAAAGGAGTTTGCATTAAAAATACATTTTTTATTGATTATATATCGCAATTCTAAAAGGTTTATTTACACACATATTTGGCACTGAAAATGGAACTATCAGAATTCCCTTCTACTACCCTCTAAAAAGAGATTAAAAGTTTATTCTTTTGCCTTGTTTTGTTTTTGGGCTACACCTAGCAATATGCAGTCATTACTCTTGGCCAGGCTTAGGGGGAATATATGGGGTGCTAGAAATGTGGCCAGGTCAGCCACATACAAGGTAAGTACCTTACCCACTGTATTATCTCTCCAGCTCCATAAAAGTTTAGTTTTTTAAAAACAGAAAACAAAAGTGTGTGCATGTGTGCACACTCATGCATGTCGATACACACACGTGTGTGTGCGCATGCACACACACACACACACATTTTTGGGTCTACACCCAGTGGTGCTCAGGTACTATTCATGGCTCTGTGCTCAAAAGTGACTCCTGGTGATGTCGGGGACTGTATGTAGGTATGAGAGATTTGAACCAGGTTGTGGGCGGGGGGGGGGGATGGGTCGTGTAAGGAAAGGCCTTGGTTTAACCCCACAGCATCTCTCCAGTCCAAAACATTTAGTAAACTGACCTTACCCTAGTTATTTCACTTTCTTATCTCCAACTTATCCATTATGTCGGCAATATATTCCCCCCCTTAAATCTCTCTTTTTCATTTTTTGTTCCTTTATTTATTTATTTATTTATTTATTTTTGCCACACCTGTGTCAGTGCTCAAGGATCCCTTCTGGTGGGGTTCATGGACCATATGTGCTGGGGATCGAACCTGTAATGGCCACATGCAAGGCAAATGTCTTACTATCTCTCTGCTCCCTCCTCAATCTCTTTCAAGCTGAGACAACTGGCTGGAAGAAAGTTATTTCAGTCTTTGAAATCTGAATAATTTTTTCTAAAATAACATATCTTTTCAATTCTGTTGGATCAATCAGGCAGGAAGGAGGGTGGAGAGGTAGGTATCAGTTCTGATAGTCCCATAGCTGAATTTCTATGTTTTAGCAATTCTAAAAATGCCTCATGAGCTTTCCTAGGAATATTCTTCAGTAATCCTCTAGGAAATTCTGGAATGCTAAATTGGATTAAATCTGTGTGGGTCCATAGTATGGGCCTAACTGAAAACCCTTCTTGATCCTTAGGGCTAGGTAGGCATGGAAAGTTCAAGTCTTTCCCTTTTACAGGATGGTATCTTTAATGAGACAATGACCAGGAAAATTCAAAGTCTTATATGTGAGTCAGAAGAAAGACTCATACTAAAATATACTATTCTGAAAATGTTTCAGACTAAAATATTTGCATTTTGAGAAGCAGCACACAAATATTTTCCATATGAATCATTAGAATTTGTGCTTTCCCTCTAGATGTAGATCAAATGGGATAAATGACAAGGCCACTTTTTCAACTAAAATTATTGAAGTAACTTTTTAACTCACATTATAAGGTTCCCGGTGTGACATATATATGCTACATTATTATCCCTACCTAGTTTAGTTTCCATTGACAACCTTTACAGTTGAACCCATTAATCAGATTTGTCCTTTTCCTCTGATGAGTACCATTTTGTTCTCATTATGACCTTGTGTTTGTTTTGTTTCAAATCAAAAGCATTCCAGGGAATCTTCCCTTCTTGACAGTAAGGGTTCAGGTTCAGTAACGAATACTCTCTGTCACTGTCATTTTGTTTTGTCATTATTTTGTTCTGTTTATTTTGAATCAGGTTCTCTCTTAGGCTCCAGGATCATCATTTTGCTAAGGGGCTGTGCTAGTACTGGCACACAGAAACCAGAATATAATGTCACCTCTCCAGTCTAGGCCCAGCCCTTTTTATCCACCCTGAGCACTGGTCCTCATCTATCTTTGCTGCCCTCTGCTCAAACATGGTATAAGCTGTCATGTGCCTTTCAAGGTCTGGATCAGCTGATACCTAGTGCTGGTACTCCCTAGATCCTTTACTCACCAATGAAAATTATCTTTTCTCATTCTGTCTCTTTTCAGAGCTCTTTATTCCATTTCCATACATGGTCCAAATTGGATCTGATTTTGGCAGTAAGATTTTATGCGACTAGATTAGTAGCACTGTAGTACTGTCCTCCCGTTGTTCATCGATTTGCTCGAGCAGGCACCAGTAATTCCTCATAACAAATTGTGAGACTTGTTGTTACTGTTTTTGGCATATTGAATACGTCACGGGGAGCTTGCCAGGCTTTGTCGTGCGGGAGAGATACTCTCGGTAGCTTGCAGGGCTCTCCAAGAGGGGTGGAGGTATCAAACCCAGGTTGACCATATGCAAGGCAAATGCCTTATGCGCTGTAAAAGTTCTAATTTCTGAATTTCCTCCTCTTCATTTTCACAAACACACAAACCAGACTCTATTGGTTTCTCTGTTAGTCAGTCAACTTTCACATATTTTTTATTTTAGGAAGTCAGACCCTGGAGTCTAGACTGCTTGAGTTTAAATCTTGGGACTGATACTTGTAAACTGGGTGCCTCAGTTTCCTCATGTTTAAAATAGGGATATAGTGATTCTTACCTTACAAGGTTGTTGTGAAGATTGAATTTGCTGATTCATGGTAAGTACTTACAACAGTCCTTGTTTGTATCAAGAGTTATATAAGCTTTACTATTATATTTAGGAAAATACCTGCCTTGTTTTCTATTTAAAATATTCTCTATATAGGGTCTTATTTTCACGAAGGGAGTATCAGACAGAAGCCGTCACCACCCACCTCACACACCAGGCACACACTTTCTTCTGATGTAGAGTTGGGGAAAACCGACAACTCTTGATTACAGCCTTGGGCCCATGGGCATACTTACCAGTGATGTAAATCAAAGCATCCCAGGGAATCTTCCCTTCTTGACAATAAAGATTCAGGTTCAGTAACGCACACTCTCTGTCACTGTCATTAAATTCATAGCAGATATTCCAACCGAGAGGACCAAACTTTTTTCTCTCCTAGAATGGAAAATGAAAATGGTCTTTAAATAAAATGGAATTGATTTTATATACGATTTTGAAAAGTGATGTTGGCCATCTTCATTCTGCAGAATCATTAAAGTCATGCAGCTCTGTGTCATTGAGGCTTCCAGGCTGACTTTCACCAACAGAGAGGTACTTCTTTCAATACTGGTTTCGCTCACATATGTCCAAAGGGAAATTTGAGTTTATCAGAAATATGTTAGACCTGTTGGGAGCTGGAGTGATATAGTATAGCTGGTAAGATATTTGCCTCGCATGTGTCTGACCTGGCTTGATCCCCTGCATCCCATATACTTCCCAGAGCACTTCTAGGAGTGATTACTGAATGCAGAGCCAGGAGTAACCTGTGAGCACCACTGGGTGTGAACCCAAACAAAACAGAAAAAGGAAATATGTTCGACCTGTTAAAAGTCATCTGTTTATCATGGTGAGATAAAATATTTCCACATATAAAGAGAAAAGAAATGCTCCTCTATAGTAATTTTGCATAAAAATGTACATATGTGTTTTGGCGCTTTTGGGCCATATCTTGTGGTACTCAGGGCTTAATCCTGACTCTGTTCTCAGAGATCAGTCCTGATCCTGAGGATCAAACCAAGGTCAGCTTGTTCTCTAGCCCCTTGGCACTAATCCTCTATCTGGTGGAGAAAGCTATCACCTGCTGCTCGAAGGAATGTGTCTGTTACTAGACTTTCATGCCACACCATGCTATGCTCATCACAAAATGACTTATCTAAGGTGACAGCTTTTGTTTTTTAAAACTGGCTTATAGAATCTTTGGACTTACGATAGTGAAAAATTTCTCTTTTCTAGTTATCTCCCTATCCCATCTTAATTTCTTTCTTTTATTTTTTTTTTTGCTTTTAGAGTCACACCCAGAGAAAAACAGGGATTACTGGTGGCTCTGCACTCAGGAATTACTCCTGGCAGTGCTCGGGGGACCATATGGGATGCTGAGAATCGAACCTGGGTCGACCACATGCAAGGCAAACTCCCTACATGCTGAGCTATTGCTCCAGTCCAACATCTTAATTTCTTGATTTTGGACTGCTGATTATACCAGAGGATTGGTTTTATTCTCTCCTGATTGTAAAATTTTCCTAAATCTGAAACCACTTCCTCATCTCAGCTCTTTTTGCTAGTAGAACATGAATCTCTTTTCTTGAGTCTAATCACTACTTCTCTGATCTTCTCTAGAACCTTGTTTGCATATCAATCTCATATCTCATACCTTTAATCTTTGTTTTTTTCTTTTACTGATTCTTCTTTTTAGGATACGTTCCAGAGGTACACAGCTGAAGAGTCAGGAGTCAAGGACCATACCACAGATGGATAACAGACCACATCAGTGAGGTTTGAATGAAGGGGAGGAGAAAGTAGTGTCCTGCTAAAGGTCACTACATAGAGGACTTGGGTTTCCAGTCACAAGAATGGAGTTGCAATGAGTATCACACACATACCACAACAGGAACAGATAATGAAATTATTGAAAAATAATCCCAAAACCCTGATGGCTTGATTTACATATGTATATATAAAGAGGGAAGAATAAAAATCATTCTGAAATTTTTATTGTGAGACAACAGGACCACCAATTTCTGAAGCAGAGTCTCTAGGGAAGCAGACGTTTGGAGTGAGATACAGTTGAGGCGGTCTGTTTTGTGCTACCTTCACAGAGGCCATGCTGGTGTGTAGTCAGAACCTTGGTGTGGAGGTGACTTCATGAGAAATGGAGTCAAAGAACAGCAGAGAAAGCAGCAACTGAGTCAGAACAACTTGGATTCAGATGCAAGGAGCCATCATCATTTTACAGTGCCATTGGATGTATTCATTTTATTCTTACAATATACTTTCTTATTTCTACTGAAAAGCAGAATTGACTGTACCTGGATAATTGCATGGAAGAAACAGATGCCAAAGATTATTCGCCTCCACTTTCTTCCAAGTATATTTTCTTCAAAAACTGAAGGTGTCATTTCATTAAATGCTCTTCTGATATTTGCACGTAATCCTTTTGGAGGCTCATTGGTTACCTGCATTCAGATGGAACATACGTGACAGGAAGGAGATTGTGCAGATTTGCATTATTTCTGAACCACACAAATAGAATGAAGTCACTGAAAGGATGCAGATAATGCCCTTGGGGACATTCCTGGCATTTCAGTGCCTGCTAGTTCTCTTACTTAGTCTTAGTACTGGAAGTAAAGAACCTGGAGGGGTCCTCAGAACTACAGAAGGTAAACCATCCCCACAGAATCTCAGACACTGCCTTTTGGGGCCTGTTACTCTAAAGTAAAGGCCACAAGATTTGTTCAGGTCATCTGCATTGCTAGTCTCCTTCCACTATGGCTTCCATATATTGGAAACTTCCAGCACTAGAATTCACCAGTCATACTTCCTGTCTCTCAAATGCTGAGACACTCTTTTAACTTTGGGAGAGAAGGTTCCTTCTTGTCATTCTGAATCCTTGATATTTTTCTTCCAGGAGGTCAGAAGGCAAAAATATGGACTGACTGGCAGGGCAGGATTGAAGATACACAAGTGACTATAGAAAGTGGTTCCCAGTCTGCTCTTAGCTTGCGGGATACTGACTTCCACCTCTCTGCTGGTGAAGTCAGTACACCTTGTACTGCATGTACATTGCCTGGGTGGATCACTGGGCCTGAGCTCTCCCTGCACACCCAGTCACCACTCTGATGGGAAGATTCACTTCACACTGTTCCAACCATGTGTATGTGTTACCTTGACAGAATTTTGAAGAACTGTAACAGGAAATGTATCACAAGGCATGGAACTTAAAAAAAGTCGAAATGAGTCCTTGATAAAAACACCTGTTAAAAAACAGAGACAAAACAGCAACACAAAGGGACAAGGTTTTACTCTTACTTAGTAAAACTTTTCTTAAAGAAATAATTATTATAGGACAGCAAAAAGAACTGAAGCTCTGTATGTTGCCCATTTCTTTAAAATGGAGTTTGGAGGGATCTTTATAGAAACTATTTGTGCAGGAGAGTTTGGTATCTAGAGTTGGCATATTTGAGTGAAGACATTGAGGACACACAGTGAATGACCATTAGGAGAAAGATTCTTTCTACCCTTAAATAGGTTGAGGGCTTTTTTTTTAAAAATCACAAACAGATACTGAATTTTATCAAAAGAATTCTCTGAATTAATTGATGCACTCATATGATCTTTGTCTTTCCTATTGTTATGGTGGTGAATTACATCAGTACCTAATAGTGATGTTAAGAAACTTCCCTCTGAAATGGGGAAGATTACCAACTGAAAAAAGAAAGAAAGTTACTATCAGCACAGGAAGTGTTTCTGCCCCCCCTCTCAGCATACAATTTAAGAAAAAAAATTATGAAAATGGTCAAAAAGTCCTATAGAGAAGAAAGTGAAATTCTTTCCTTCCCCTGTGCTCAGAGTTTACTCTTGGCTCTGTGCTCAGGGATCACTTGGGGTGATGTTTTGGGGTCCAAGGTCGACCCTGACCAAATCGTTTAATATTGTTATCACCCTCCCTCTCCACCCTTTTCCACCTCCTCCTTTTGGATCCTTATGTTCCTCTCCTTTATTTCCCCCCTAAAATAGTGGCAACGTTCTATCTGATCTCTTAATTGACTTATTATGTAGTACATTTATGTGTATCTCCTCCGAATAAGAGCTTTATAATGTCACGTATCTGTGGTTTTGATCACTGATATCATTTGTTCTGTTATAGATTACTCAACCCTCAATGAGGACTTATTTGTAGTGACAGAGATTAAACATATCATTTATTCACAGAAAGAATTGATGTTTAGCAAAACTACATACTTAATAAGGTTTTTGAACAAGCTACTTTGTATTTATTTTTTTCATTTTTCCCTAAGAGGCATTATTGTGTTTTTGTTTTTGTTTTTTTAGGTGTAGCAGGCCTATTTTCTAAAATAAGTATTAGCAAATGAAAGTTACAGGTCTGGTGGTTGAATTTGTGGCTTTTTTGTATTCTATTGATGTGTATTTGTTTTCCTTTTGTATAAGATTGAAATAACATTGTATTGTAACATATATAAACTTAGTCTTGTATCCTTAGAATTCAACATGTATAAATATTACATTAAGCTCACCACTTAAAGTTCAATTTATTCACTATACAATTGACCCCTTAATTTTGCTGTTTTCTTTCTCCCATTCCTACTATTATGAAATTGTTTTATAATTTAATAGTAGTTTATTTTTGTCTTATTTAGTTAATACTATTTTCTATGTATACCCCATGAATGAAATCATGTTGTGTTTGTCTTTTTCCACCTGATTTATTTCATTGATCATAATATCTTCTAGGTTTATCTATGTTGTTGCAAGAGGCAGGATTTCACTTAAGTTTTAAATAGGTGAGGAGTATTCCATTCACTAATTTTCTGTTAATGGGCATTTAAGTCTCTGCAACTTTCCCCTCCCCCATCTTGGCTATTGAAAATAAACTAGCATTTTTCTTGATTATAATGTCAATCATCAGTGACCCTGGAATCCCAACAGAAGCAGGCCATCACTTATTTGCTGTGCAAACAAGACTGGAGATTCTGGATAATAAATGTGAAGGACTCTCCTGTTGGAGGGAGTCTACAGAAAGCAGGGGTGGGAAATCAGTCCTCTAGAGCAGAACTTCTCAAACTTTTGCCTACTCATGACGAGAAATGCACCATGAGCAAGTGCTGCCACATATACCTTGGATGATGTGTTTTGAATCAGAATTAAGTTTTGGTCTTTGTTTAGTAAGAAACATTTTATTGGAAAATTTTCACAATCCTGCATTCAGTGATAACTATTCTCTAAAGGGTAGTGGGCTGGGCTTTAGGGGAAGAGCAATGCCTGGCTGTGAGCCTGGGTGGTTTGCTCTGGAAGGGAGCTGCTCTCCTCATCATTGGTAGCAGGAAGGAAAGTCACCTGCAGGACCATCTACAAAGCTCTCCCTTACCAGAAAACGTTCAGTACTCAGGGCACAAAGAAAGACCCCAGAGAAAGGACCCTGGATAAACTTGGTGGTCTTTTCTGGCTGGGTTGAAGTGGAGCCCATACAATTTTCACCAGTAATTTAGTTCCTAAGGTTCAATTAATTTAAAAATAAGTAGATTCTTATGGTCTCCAGAGTACAGGCAGGAGTGACCCCTGAACAAAGAGTCAAAGAGTCAGGAGTAAGCCTTGAGCATAGTTAGGAGTGGCCCCAAAACAAACAAATGAAAAAAAAAGCATATCATAGCTTGTCAGGGGCGAGAGCACAGGGATTAAAATACCCAGAACTAAGTGAAATGAGTCAGAAAAAGATGGACAGACATAGGATGACTGCAGTCATTTGTGGTATATAAAGTATCAAAATATGAGACTAACACCCAAGGACAGTAGACACAAGGGCCAGGAATATTGCTTCAAGATTGGAAGCCTGTCTCATGAGCTGGGGGAGAAGGTAGCTGGAATAGAGTAGGGACCACCAAGTCAATGATGATTGGAGGGATCGCTTGGGATGGGAGATGTGTGCTGAAAGTAGACAAAGGACCAAACATGATGGCCTCTCAGTATTTGTATTGCAAACCATAATGCCCAAAAGTAGAGAGAAAAAGGAGAATTGTCTGCCACTGAGGCAGGGGGAGGGGCGGGATGCAGGGCATAGTGGTGACATCAGTGGTAGAAAATGTACACTGGTGGAGGGATGGGGTGTTTGATCATTGTATGACTGAAGCTTAAACATGAAAGTGTTGTAACTGTATCTCATGGTGATTCAATAAAAATAAATAAAGAAATAATAAAAAAATTTTAAAAAGTAGATTCTACTGACACTCTCCTTCCTTCCTTCCTTCCTTCCTTCCTTCCTTCCTTCCTTCCTTCCTTCCTTCCTTCCTTCCTTTCTTCTCTTTTGCTTTTTGGGTCTCACCCGGCGATGCACAGGGGTTACTCCTGGCTCTGTGCTCAGGAATTATTCCTGGCAGTGCTCGGGGGACCATATGGGATGCTGGGAATAAAACTCAGGTTGGCAGCGTGCAAGGCAAACGGCCTACCCACTGTGCTATCGCTCTTTCTTTCTTTGCAGCCCATTAAACTTCCTTGAGTGAGAAAGAAAGTAGTGATAGTCAGTGGTAGTGTGTGTGACTGTGTCGACATGGGAAGTGACTGCCATGTGGGTTTCAGAGAACAGAGCGTGGTATGACACAACTCTAGGGCATTTGGTGCTAATTTGAAGCCTATTCCTAGCCTCTCTCATTCTATAGTGAAAGATTTCATTTCCTTTCTTTGTATTAAATCCATTTTTAAAATCATGCTTGTTTGGGATAGATTTAAAATTCAAAGAATCTATCTCAGAAGACTTTAAGAAATAGCTACAATGCAGTGAATTAAACCCTCAACTTCAAGTAGGAGGAGCTTTCTTTGGATCTGGGCTGTGTAAGTTAATTAAATATCTCCTCTTAAACACAGGGAAACAAAATGCCTATAATACTTATAAGGATTGGATTTAACAAGAAAGGCAACATAAAATGACATTTTATGCAAATACTCTATGTTCAACATACTTGGATCCGTGAAAGTTTTAATCAGTTCTTCCATTGCCAACATCCAAGAAACAGCAAGATGACAGTTTTGCAGAAATACCCAATTTCCCAATTTCATTGCATCTTTGATCATTCTTTCAGCAATTGGCCCTTGTCCTTGCCCCAGTGAAATAGACTGCACCCTGAATTGAACAACAACGACATTTTATGTTATTTTTTAAGCAATGTAAAGATTAAGAAATATATAGTAGACTTTTGCCTAGAATAACTTAAAATAGGTACATATTTCTCATCTTTATTCTGAGAAAAGTTGAAATATTTTTTATTTTTGAAAGCATTTTTATAAAAATACAGAAAAGTACAAAGACAAACATAATTTATGAATTATTACAAATGAATACATGTATTTGAGAAGTGAACTTTTCCATCACCCTCAAGGGTTCCCAAGAATAGATGAGTGGATAAAGAAACTGTGGTTTCTACACTACAGAATACTATGCAGATGTTAGTGAAAATGAAGTCATGAAATTTGCTTATACATGGATGGACATGAGTGAAATTAGTCAGAGGGAGAGGGACAAACGTAGAATGATTGTACTCATTTGCGGGATATAAAAATAACAACATAGTATGAGAATAATTTCAAAAGACAATAGAAACAAGGTTCAGGAGAACTGATCCATGGTAGGAAGCTTGTCACAAACGGGGAGGGGGAATGCAGTTAGGACAGAGAAGGGACCATTATGACAATAATAATTGGAAATGATTACTCTGGACAAAAACTGAATGCTCTATCTGAGCTCCCTTTTCCCCTCGCATGTGTGGCTGGCCTCCAAGCCATGGAGCAAAATTCCTGCCAGTACTGATCAAAATTTAGTCCTGTTTCTGTACTCAGAGATCAACCCTGATAGGGTTCAGGGCATCCTGTGTGGTGCCAGAGATAGAACTCGGGGTGGCCACATGCAAGACAAGTGATCTACCCACTATGCTTTTGTTCTGACTCAAGCAATAAACTATTCTCAAATGTCAGAAAGGGTAGCTTGGTTTTGTGGCACCTGTAGCAATATTAGCATGATACTAAGATTGTCAGTGGCTTCTGAAAAGGATGGTATGCAAATGCATGATGTGTGCTGTATATAAAATAAATTAAATATATTAAAAAAACCTGAATGCTGAAAGGAGGTCGTTATAAAGTGATATGCATGATACCCTTTTAGTAGTAGTATTGTAAACCACAGTGCCTAAAAGGGGGGGGGAGGGAGAGAGAGAGAGAGAGAGAGAGAGAGAGAGAGAGAGAGAGAGAGAGAAAGAGAGAGAGAGAGAAGAAATTTGTGAAATGTGTCTGCTATGGTGGGTGGTGGGAGAGAAACTGGGGACACTGATGGTGGAAAATGTACACTGGTAAAGGGATGGGATGGATGTTGGAACATTGTATGACTGAAACTCAATCATGAACAGCTTTGTAACTGTGTATTGCACTGATGTTGTGATTCAACAACATCAAAAACTGAAAAAAAATACAGGACTCATATTAGACCTCTGAGGCAGTTCTAGGATTGAATTTAGACTCACCTGCCTTAAGGTTTGCAAGGCAGGTGCTTTGCCACTAAGTTATTCAGGTGCCCCCCGCCCCCGCCTCCTCAAACCCCCTCGCCCTGGATTTTTTTTATAAAACAATAAGATCATCAGTTTTTCTATACTGATTTATAAGAGATCTCAATAATGTATACACATTATTGTATACTGTTAAATTATACTGTCATTACAGTTTTTTTTTCCACCTAGAATGTCACATAGCTAGACCCATAATATGTAATATAGTCTGGTTTGTTTCACTTGGTAATATGCACGAAAGTTTCCTCCATAGTTTTCCATGGCTTGAGAGCTTTCTAGCACTGAATAATATTCCATTTACGTTCTAGCACTGAATAATATTCCATTGCTTTAAAGTACCATAATTTGTCAAGTTCACTGTTTTTATAATTCTTCTCTGATCTGTTGTAGTCTTGAAATAAAATTTTTATTCAGTTACTGTATGTTTAAGCACCAAAAGTTTTTCTTTACATAAATCCACATCTATCGCTATTCTCTATTTGGTGAGCCATTATTGTCATGTTTTCATTTAGCTTTTTTAAGTGTATTTACAAGAGTTGATTTAACTTTGCCATTGTGATTTCCCACACTGTAGCACTGTAGCACTGTAGCACTGTCCTCCCATTGTTCATCAATTAGCTCGAGCGGGCCCAGTAACACCTCCATTGTGAGACTTGTTGTTATTGTGCTTGGCATATTGAATACATCATGGGTAGCTTGCCAGGCTATTTTCTGTGGTATTAAAATTTTTAAATAACTCTTTTGAACTGATTTTGCAAGAACTATTCTTTTTGTTTAAAACGATAGCTTAGGTAAGATGGTTATAATAGTATGAAAATATATGATGTTGATATGCAGATTTACTGCACCCTTCCTACCCCAAAGTCCCCATGATCCTTCACCACTATCCCTATGTCACTCTAGTACAATCTTCACTCCCTGCTTCAACTTCCTTCCCCTGTTGTATGACAGTCTTAGTTTTTCAATGCAAGGCCAAAGGATTTTGTTATTAATTCCGACTAGTCCTTTGTGTTTTTATCCTTTGTAAACCACAGATGAGTGAGATCAACCAGTATTTATTTTCCCTCTGACTTATTTCGCTTAACATGATGCCCTCAAGTTTCATTCACATTGAACTGCATAGTTTCAGCTTTTATTATGGCTGTACGTATATATTCAATTATGTATATATTTCATAACTTCTTTATTCTTTCATCTGTATTTGGACATTTGGCTATTGTACTGCAATGGATTTAGATGTGTACCTAAATGTATGTACATACACATACACATACATGTATATTTAAATCAATGTTTTGTGTACTGGGGGTCGATGCCAAGAAATGGAATTTTGGATCACATGAAAGTTCTAGTCTTACTTTTTTGAGAAGTTCACATTGTTTTCCATAGAGGCTGAATTAGAAGACCTGCCCATCAACAGTGAAAGAGGGTTCTTTTTGCACCACATTTCTGACAACTTTGGTTGTTTGTAATCTTTTTGATAAATGACATTCTCACTGGTGTAAATAGATGTCTCATTGTTGTTACAACTTGTATTTCCCTGATAATAAGTGATAATGAATGCTTTTCATATACCTATTGACTACAAGTCTTCTTTGGGGATGTTTCTGTTCATTTCCTTTCCTCATTTTTTTTAAATGAAGTTATTGGCTTTGTCATTGTTGAACTTTTTGAGGGCTTTATATATCTTGGATAAGCCCTTTATCTGATGTATCTGTACAAATACTTTATCCCATTATCTAGGGTGCTTTTTATTTTAGCACAAGTTTTGCCATGCAACAGCTTTCTTAGTTTGATGTAGTTCCAATTGCTTATTTTTTTTGTCTTCGTTATCATTGTCAATGGAATTAAATCATTAAAGTCACCTCCAAAATTCAGATCCTGGAAAGATCTACCTATTATTTTCTCAATGAATTTTATAGAGATTGGTATACTCTTGAGCTCTTTAATATACTTTGAATTAACTTTTGTGTATGGTGTGAGATATGGCTCTTCTTTCTTTCTTGTATACTCTTGAGCTCTTTAATATACTTTGAATTTTAACTTTTGTGTACGGTGTGAGTATGGCTCTTTTTTCTTTCCTTTGTTCTTTCTTTCTGCTTCTGGATATTCACTTTGACCATTGAAGATATTCTCTTCAGATATAAGTGGATAGACATGGAGAGTATCATGTTGACTGAAATGAGTCAGAAAGAGAGGGACAGACATAGAAGGACTGCATTCATTTGTGGAGTATAGAATAACATAACATGAGTCTGACACCTAAGGATGTAGATACAAGGGCCAGGAGGATTGCCCCATAGTTAGAAGCCTGCCTCCTGAGCGAAAGGGAGAAGGCAGTTGGAATAGAGAAAGGATCACTAAGAAAATGATGGCTGGAGGAATCAGTAGGGATGGGAGATGTGTGCCAAAAGTAGATAATGGGCCAAATATATTGACCTCTCAGTGTCTGTATTGCAAACCATAATGCCCAAAAATAGAGAGAGAGTAGCACTGTAGTACTGTCCTCCCGTTGTTCATCGATTTGCTCGAGCGGGCCCAGTAATGTCACCATTGTGAGACTTGTTGTTACTGTGTTTGGCATATCGAATACATCACAGGGAGCTTGCCAGGCTTTGCTATGCGGGCAAGATACTCTCAATAGCTTGCTGGGCTCTCTCTTGCTGAGAGGGTGGAGAAATCGAACCTGGGTCAGCAAGGTTGGCTACGTGCAAGGCAAACACCCTACCCACTGTGCTATTGCTCCAATCCAGAGAGAGAGAGAGAGTATGGGGTATATTGTCTGCGATGGAGGCAGGAGGGTGGTGGGAAAAAGGGGTATACTGGGAAGATTGGTGGTGGGGAATGTGCACTGGTAGAGAAATGGGTGTTTGATCATTATGTGATTGTAACCCAAAGCTTGTAACTCTCACGGTGATTCAATAAAATTTTAAAAATAGGAAAAAGAAGATATTCTTTTCACTTAAATTTTGTCAAAGGTTAACTGTCCATAAATCTGAGGATTTATCTTGGCTCTCAATTCAATATTGTTAGTCTGAGAGTATGCCTTATTTTTAGTACCACATCGTTTTGATTGCTATAGCTTTATAATATAATTCAAAGTTGGGGCATTAAATACTGCTTACATTTTTTTTCTCTGAATTTCTCTGGTCATTCAGAGGTTTTTATAATTTCATATAAATTTGAGTAGTATTTGCTTTATGTCCTTAAAGAATATTATCAGAATTTTGATAGGAATTGCAATGAATCTATCTCATGCTTTAGGTAGACAATAAATTGACAATACTAATTCTTCCAAACCATGAACATGGAATATTTTCCCATTTCCTGGTAAAATTGTTATCCTTGCTGTGTATAACCACTGAAGTTTCTGTTTGGTTAGCTTCAGGGTCTACTAGTAATATAATGAGATTTCTTTAATTAAAAAAATGGCCACTTAATACCTGCATTGCAAACCACGACACCCTAAAGCTAAAGGAGAGAGAGAGAAAGGGAATGCGCTTGCCATAGATGTGGTGTGTGTGTGTGTGTGTGTGTGTGTGTGTATGTGTGTGTGTGTGTGTGTGTG